TGTTCACACCCGTTTGAAACATTTTAACCACACATGATGCATATGGTGCAAAGGAATGACTTTTTGTTTCACTTAGATTCTCTTCTCCTTTCAAGTAGGTCAGCAAAGCTTAGAAGACAAACTATACGCGTTCAAATCGGAAGAAGGCCAATATCCTCATGAAAATAGTCTTCTCATAGAGGGATAAACACTTGAAACCGACTGTCGAACAAAATGCTTTCTGTATTTTCTACCGGCTTGTTTAAAAAAGGATTAGAGATGCACAAACAAGTGAGAGTAAAGGACCCATTCATCTCTTCAGCATTCAGACCTGAAGGCACGAATTTGAATACAATCCGGTGTAAAGATTTGTTTCACAGAGCTGCTGGAACCACTGACTATCACTTAACAGTTTAACTGTTTATAGCAATTGAATTAAAGTTAGAATAAGTAATAAGACAGCAAGATCCAAACCATAAAACCTCAAGAATTCTTGGTTCCAAATCGATAGAATGAGGTATATTTTGGAGACACACTTTTTTGAAATTCATTGGTCACATATTTGTCTGGTTTCGTGCTGTCAAAATATGCTACTGAGAAGTAGTAAAAGATTATCAACATTTTGTAAAGTATCATAAAAGTGGGTAGCAAAGATAATAGAGCAGAAGACAGAGACGTACAGAATAAATCAAAAATAAGCAAACGACGTCAGTCTTTAGCTGGTAAAAAGATTAACTAAATATATGAGCTATGAGGTTACCTTAAGTGTCGTGGAAGTATCGAGAGACTTTCGAAAGTTTTTGTTGCCAGACATAATGGTGAAAAGTAACCTGAGATACACAATGTTGTTGTAAATAACTTTGACACCCCAATGTATGTGCACAAGATACGGAAAATGAGTGGCTGGAAATACCATACTGGGCTTCAACAAAGATAGCTGTTCGTCAGCTTCAGAGAACAAATGTACCAATAAAATGAGTTAGTCAATGCCTTTTGCATGTTAAAACCTGGAAATGAACACGAACAAACTAAGTAATTTGGTCCACAGCGGATTAAAAACCCTATACTATCTACTTCTAGTTCCAATTTAAGGTCGTTATAACCTTATGTTTGTATTATTGGTGACATTTTTACTGCTTCTCCTAGTAAATACTAGAGACTATCGTGCTCTGGCTGAGTAACCGGATCACTGTTTCCATTGTCCTTTTCCTTTCCAGATTTCCAAATACCCAATACCATAAAGTAACAAAAAGAAGTGAGCACAATGAGTTTAATCGGTTTATACAAGCTAGTGCTAAAGATACTGAATATTTGACGCCATTCATTCTTATCTTGTACACAAAGTATCATATGGCTAGACGTAAGCTGATACATCATCACAGTCGCTTTAGCAGCGACTGAGGACCCGGCTAGAACCACTATCGTCCAGAATAGTTCCAATCTGGATGCTGAGAATAGTGGCAAATGGATTACGCGGAAACGCAAAAGAGACGGAAAAACACCCAAAGAAAGCGCGCGTATAGTCGGTAAGTCATCGTTGGACTCACGTCCTAAGCATTAGGCAACTCCTCTCAAGTCCAAATGTAAGGAAATAATTAATACTGTTGTGGATGGAAATAGTCTAACTTCACCAAATGTTGTTGGGAGTAACTCGCTTGACCCACATGACACTGTCATAAAGAAAGCTAATAGCAAGAAGCCGGTAGCTAACCGGCAGGATCTGACATCACGGTCAAAGGCCGTGAACACGACGTTTAAGGCAGTTAAACAGGTGCCTAGTATAATCATCTGGAACTTGGCAGAATCGAAAGACACTGATCCCGCTAAGAGACATGCCCACGACCTGCAGTTAGTGGGATCTCTCATCAGAAATATACTGCCAGAGGAGGTCCCAGGGGTACATATCTCGAAAGTCATCAGACTTGGTAAGTATGTTGGAGGCGAAACCCAACAGAGAAGGATCCTCAAATTAGTACTCGGTAATTTTGAGGAACGGGACGTATTACTAAATAACTCACGCAAAACTCGTGACTCAAACATTCGTATTCGACCTGACTGGCCACTTGAGGATCGGATCAAGTGGAAGAATGCCCTAACAGAGTTAAAAACTCGAAGGCTAAACGGTGAAGCGAACCTTATGATTAGGGGTTTTCGGGTAGTCAGGTCTTGGAAGCCAATGCTTCCGAGACCTGTGTGGGTAGAACGCATGTCTCCAAAAACACCCTAAATGTGTGTTATACGAATGCTCGTAGTCTTCGGAATAAGATGTCTGAACTAAGTTTGATGGTAGACGACTTAAATCCCGATATAATTGTTATCACCGAAACTTGGCTCACTGTAGATATAGACTGTTCTCCAGTCATTTCAGGCTACATCTGTGTCAGAAGTGATAGAGTTAGAAGTCGCAAGGGAGGAGGCATAATATTATATATTAGGGACCACTTCCGCATTAACTCGATCATATCGGAGGCGCATGTAAGTGGTACGTGTGAGGTAGTATGTTGTACAATTAGGTCTAGAAACGGGTTAGTGACGGTAGGAGGAATTTATCGTAGTCCGTGTTGTCTCGCTGACGACTTTATCCTAAAACACGTCTGTTCTTGGAGTAAAGCAGAATGTTGTCTCATCGTTGGAGATTTCAATGCACCCCATATAAACTGGATAGAGCTCACAGCTCCAGGTGGGGGTTTCGATAGCGTCCTTCTGTCATCAATTATTCAATGTGCACTTGTACAATGTATCGTTAAGCCAACACATATAGACTTGGAACATAATCCGTCATTGATAGACCTTGTCCTCACACACCACTGTGAACATATCGTTGACATTCAACATCTTCCCCCACTGGTGAATAGTGACCATGTCGTACTTTCCTTTAAGTTCCGGATACATGGTATAAAATTTGCATCAGCTCCACCCCGTCCTAATATCTGGAGAGCTAATATTCCGGCAATCAGGGACTATGCTATCTCAATTGACTGGTCGGTCGATGCTGATGGATCGTTTGATGATGCATGGAATAGGTTTAAGTCTACGTTCGAATCCGTAACTCAACCGTTTATCCCATGGTCAGCACGTAAGTTATCATATTGCCCTCCATGGATTAATAAGGAAACCCGGAAGCTGTTGAAGCGTAGGAAACACTTCTGGGACTTATTCTTGTCAACAGGTCAGGCATCATTTAAGTGCGAATATAAAAAAATCCGGAATATATGTAAAAAGACCATAGCTAAATCCCGCACGGCTTACGAACGACAGTTGGCATACGATAGCCGTACCTGTCCGAAGCGACTGTTTTCGTACGTTAAAAGGCGGATGAAACGTAGTGATGATATCCCCTCATTACTGTTAAGCGAAAATTCAGCTTTATTGGCTGAATCTGATCTGGCGAAAGCGGAGTTATTTGCTAACTATTTCAGTGAAGTCTACTCTACGTGTAGTGTTACAACTACTTGTCCCGTTGACAATGAGATACCAGCCATAGGACCTTTACACGTGACAGAGGATATAGTTCTTCCTTTGATAACTAACCTAAAACCTTGTAAGATACCGGGCCCCGATGGGTTACACCCACGTTTGCTGTCGTCGCTTGCGGACATTATCTCAAGACCGCTCACGATGCTCTTCAACATGTCCCTCTCACAGGCTCAACTACCTAGAGACTGGAAAGACGCCATAGTTAGTCCTATATTTAAGGATGGTCAGAGACGGATAGTATCTGACTACCGGCCTGTTAGCCTGACCAGTATAGTAGTTAAGTTGCTTGAAAAATTAATTCGGGCTAAGCTACTGAGCCACATTGATTCGTACAGTCTGTTAACTCCCGAGCAACATGGGTTTCGTAACAAGCATTCATGCTTGACTAACTTACTCATTGCGAGAGAGGATTGGACAGCTGCACTAGACAACGGCCAGTCTGTCGACGTGATATTTATAGATTTTAGCAAAGCGTTTGATAAGGTTTCACACTTAGGTCTTATGCAAAAGCTCTCGAGCTTTGGTATAACAGGTGCTATACAGGAATGGATAGGAAGCTTCTTATGTGACCGCAGACAGAGAGTGAGAGTCAATGGAACTCTATCCGAATGGAAACCGGTCAAAAGTGGTGTACCCCAAGGCACCATCTTGGGCCCTTTACTTTTCCTTCTGTATATTAATGAACTACCTTTATTACTTAAGTCGTCGACGTTATTGTTTGCGGATGATGTTAAAATCTGGAGAACAATAAGAAATGAGACTGATCGTTGTTACCTACAAGCAGATTTAGACGAATTAGTTAGGTGGGCTCATGATTAGGGCCTGGAAGTTAATTCTAGGAAGAGCGTGTTCATGCACATCGGGCACGATATTAGTTACCACTATACCATTAATGGTACATCTCTGCCACGCGTTCATGTGCATAAAGACTTAGGAGTAATTATAAGTCACGACTTAAAAACTACAACGCACTGCAGTGCGGTTGCTTCCAAAGGCTATCGCGCGCTATGGTCGCTTCGCAGAGCATTTAAATGCTTTGACGAGGATATGTTTCGAATTTTATATCCCACCTATGTAAGGCCACACTTAGAATACTGTATCCAAGCAGCTAGCCCTTGTCTGATAAAGGATACTAAATCGCTTGAGCGTGTCCAGCGTGTAGGGACAAAATTAGTAAAGGGTCTTTCCAAACTCCCTTACGATGAGCGTTTAAAACGTCTAAATCTTTTCCCCTTATCTTATCGTAGGACGCGAGGTGACCTTATACTGGCATTTCGTATCTTTAATTATGATCTGGGTGTTAATATGTCCTACCTTTTTGCTCCCTCCAGCACTAATAATCTCCGGGGTCATAGCAAGAAGGTTCTGAAACCGCGATCTAATAAACTAAAGGTGGGGTCCCGTTTCTCTCATCGAGTGGTCAATGACTGGAACGCTTTACCAGAACAAGTGGTATCAGCACCATCAGTGAACATTTTCAAAAAGAAGCTGGACCTTCACTGGAAGGAAATCTGTCAGGATTAACACAGGTTCATCAACCTACTATCCTTATTACTGAAGACTGAAGACTGGATATTGATCTATTGATTCCTAAACTATGACAACGAGGTCGCGGACTTCTGAAGTACAGCATATAGTGCTTAAATTTATCGTTTGTGTAAGAGACTTTAGGGAAGATAAGGAAATTGTTTGAAGTGTGAGGCTTCGTACAAGTCAATTATTAGTTCCATCTAAATGCAAGTAGGTAAAGTGACTTTTTATTCCTGGCTCTACTTAAGACCTACATCCACCCACATCACGAAACCCACAAAATTGTCGCACCACCTCTCTTCAAAACAGCCATGAATCTTTTGGGAAAATTGTGGAAGTGCACTGAAAATTTATCCGTAAGCCGTATGATGGACGACCTTAGCACCTTAGACTTCACTCGAGTGCAGTCACTCATGTGATCCCATGAATGATCTAGTCCTAGATCACAAAAAAATGAAAGCAATTTGATAATTGTACAAAATAATAAATACCTAACGTTAAATCAACAAAAGTTTTGATTTTAGCTTCATTATTGTACCTGATGAGGCATCCTAGGATGAATTGTACATCCAGTATCTTTGTGACGAACCTATTTAAATGGATTGATTTCTTTGCTCTTCATTACTGTTGTTTCAATACGCAGAACAAACAATACGTAGACAAGGTTGAGCATATTCTAATTACAAGCTTTCCTTTCTTGAAATGCCCTTTTACAGTCCCCGATAAACAGATTAAGGGGGAAATTCGACATGCATATTTATCCTATGATTTACCGTCCGTCAGCCGGTACACACCTGTAGTAAAATACTCTAACAGACCACTGATTTGTAACGTGATACCTGGTGGCTCTAGCAATCTCACAACCCTACAACAGACGCATTGACTTACACCCTAGAAATATCAAGCCCAACATAACTGGTTAATTCACTGGGATTAGTGCACTCGAGTGGCAAAACTATCTTCATTGACGATTATCAAAGACCTGGAACCTAATTTAGCATTAGTATTTGGACGCAAATTAACCAATAGGTTTACATTGCTTCGTCACTGAGATATTAGACAGTTCATAGGATAAATGGTATATTTGCAAATAATTCCCAAAATAATAATGCAATATATATGGTTTAATATAACATATGATGTAACACAACTCAATCAAACGCAATAAACTTTACCTAACCAAGAATTTTGCACAAGAAGACAGGATGAACTAGTTATGATTATAATCATGTAAACCATCCAGTTGACGCTAAGTTTGAATACTATTCCTGCTTACAGACTGTTGGCTGAAGGAAATTATTTTGAGTACCATAAAATTTTAACTTTACAGTAAAGACATGAACAAAAAAAGATGAAATAAAATGCCTCATTCGCGGTTTGTGGAGTGAAATCCAAATGAAGTAAAGACGACCTGTTTCTCAAGGAGCCTGATCGTCCTTTTGTGTAACTAGTCACAGGTTATGAGCTGAGATATATTAATATCATAATCATCGTTCAGCGGGTTGAAGGTTATGACTTTCTATGTCATAACCTCAGCTCTTTGTTTGGCATCATATTTCCAATACTGTTTGTTATTTTTTAGAATAAAATCCATAAACACATCGTCATGCAGAATTCAAAGGGCTCGACTATGTGGCAGTACACATTGGAGAACCATAGTAGCTAACTGTTCTTTTAAGAGTATAGCTTATAACGATCGAATTAATGCATAAGTATCAATGACTCGAAACGTTTTAGCTTCAGGAGTTTTAGATCAGTAGTGGGAGTTCTTGTGTTGTGATGCTGCCATCTCAGTGTATATCATGATTTCTGTGTGGAATTATTTCAACTAGAAGTTCTGTTGCATAAGTTTTAGACAGTATTATAATTTAATGTATACATCTGTTCGGATATAAGATAACTAGTTTGAAATAATTACCACCTGCTTAGTGAAAACATAATCCAAACTGGAGGCATGGCCGTTAAGCCCTTGAAGAGTATTTTGAGTAACGTCTTCAGACCCGTTGGATTCTTTTATTAAGTCCCTACATTTATTGAAACATATGGAGTTATCCTTGATGAGAATGACATTAAAGACTTTTAAATCGTATCACCTAAAATTTTATTTTTACCACCTATCCCGATAATTTATACTTTCGAGATGTTTGTCAAACGATTTATATGAAACATAATATGTTGGCTGATACTCCTCTTTTGGATTAAAACAAAAGTTTATATTTCGAACTTCATTTTAAATTTCCATGGGAGAGGAGAAATTGGGTATTCGGTTATGGGTTTCTTCTCAGTATTACTCATTTACGATGTACCAAGCTGAATAAAACAAAGTATTTCCAACCGGAAAAACAAAACACGCGGCGATTTCGAGAACATTAATCAATGAGGAATCTATAGGGATTGTTGCATGCAAGTTAGAAACTCCCAGAATAGTTACTTGCCGATTGCTTTTGGAAACATTCCTATGACGCTCAGTACTATTAACGTCTATATTAAGGTTGAACAACTAACTCACACACCAGAAAAGTTCTCAACTTTAAGATTTCGTTTCCATTAAGTTGATTATGAACTAAAGCCACCATCTAAAGCCCAACAAAGCCAAGCATATAGCTTTACAATTTCATGTGTACACTTTTAATTGACCGTGAACATTTAACAGTTAGTTATATAACATACGCTTATGAGCCAAAGTAATTTTAAACTGGTTTTCAGGAGAACCAGACGCCATCCAGACTTTCACGCGACAACCCAAACAGAATAGCTCAATCCTATTTAACAGGAGAGCCAGACACTGCCCAGGCTTAACCCAAGCAGTACAGCTCAATCTCGCCCCATATGAAAACCAGATACTATACGGGCTTCAACGCTTCGACCCGAATAGTACAGCTCAATCCTGTGGCGCAACCACACAGGTACCAAGCACCCTGGTAGACCGTGAACATTTACACACCTTTTAATTGACAGTGCAGTTATAAGAGAAAAATCATTTTTTGTGTGTGATTTGACTGTAATATATTGCTGGAGATTAGAATATTCCTGTTCTTCTTATATCAATGAAATATAAAATTTAACATATTTTTTAACAAAAAAATAGCAGTATAGTTTTGTTATGATTGGATCGAAATATGAACATTCGTAAGTTTATTATTGTGGTGTGGTCTGCTTAGATTCATATAAGTAGTATATGGTAATGGTTAGGCATAGAATGTATTCTGGCAGAAGATCAATAAGAAAAGAACAGGAATGAAGCGTAATCGATATGAAAATACATGAACAATGTAATCAGAGAAGGCGGACTGATATTTACAGAACAAACAGTGATGATTGAGACAATGGATTGTTATTTTGCAAATTAACTGTTTACTACTGTATGATTATCAGAATTTAGTGAGATAGTCTGTAATTTGTGTCTAAATAAATTCGATTGCATTTTTCATAGTTGAAATCATGAGTCGGTTGAAGCTAGACCACCATCGAAAACCTGGAAGCACTGGACGGCCGTTTCGTCTTATTATGGGACTCCTCAGCAGTACACATCCACGATCCCGAACTCGCGAGGTTCGAACCCAGGACCTACCAGTCTCGAGCCATAGCACTTAACCGATAGACCATTGATTCGGCATCTAACGGTGTTAACTTCTAACTTCAACCAATCCACGAAGTTTGAGCAACCATTCACCAGTTATCTTCAGTGAGTTGTTATCTCATAACAGACGTGGTTGTACTCCACTGGTTACTGCTTACCACTAGAACACGAAGACATGTATCTTGAAGTCAGTTACGATTATAATCAGAAGGGGTTTTCGTGGAGATTTCAGTATTTTCATTCAATTGTCCTCACTTGTGTTTTGATTCACTACATTAAAACTAATAAATAATATTTATTTCCCATTACAGATGATAATTTACAAATGAAAACTCCAAAATCCAAGAGTAAAAAACCCTCTAATGAAATTGATGAATCTCAATCAACATCTGATCAATTATTTTTAATTATCTCTTTAGATATAGCAAAAAAATTTTTAAATCATTTAAATAATGATCATAATCTTAAATTAGAAATACAAAGTTATTTAGAAAATGCAAATTTAATTTTAAAAAGACCAAATTTAATATTGAATTCATTTATTAAAACTGATTTATTTAAACAAAAATATCAAATTCAATCAATGGATTTAATTAATAATAATAATAATAATAATCTTAATCATTTAAATATAATGGAACCTAAAACATCATTATGGGATTCAGCATTAATTAATTATTTTTTAGAATGTATTAAATGGTCAACAACTAAATGGATCCAAGAATTTTATAAAAAAAAAACTAAAAAATTCAATTTAATCAATAATAAAATCAATAATTTAATGTTTCAATCATATCAATTATTGATTAGTGATCATTATAATGATATGAATATAGAAAAATTATTATGTATTATAATTAGTTTTACAACTGCTTATATATTATTACGTCATTTACAATTATGGCAATTAAATAATAAACATTTATATATTAATAATATTGAATTCAGTAGTATACAAAATGATAATTTAATTAACAATAATACTAATAATAATAATGGTAATAATAATAATGATAAAACGACATGTTTAATTGGATCCATTCATTTCTTTAAATCATTATTTCAATTATCACCTACTTATATCCCTAATAATAATAATAATAGTAGTCATAATAGTACTACTAATAATGATAATAGTAGTAATACTAGTAATATTGAAAATAATTTATTAAATTTTGAAAAACAATTTTTTGGTTATTTATCTAATCTTGATTTAATTGCAGCAGAATTATTAATTGAATATTTTTCAAAAAATTTTTTAAATAAACATTATTTATTAGAAAAAGTTTTTGGACCATATACAGCAATTAATCAAAAATTAGTAAGTTATATATATATATATATATTTTTTTTTTTCTATAATATAAATAATATATTCAAGATGTGGGACTCCTTAGCAATGCGGATCCACGATCCCACTTTACGAGATTTGAAGCTAGGACCTATCAGTCTAGGCTTCAATTGAATCATCATTTCAACGATATAAAATTATTAAAATCTCCACAAAACCCCCTTCTGATATTTAGAATGTATTTACGTCAGTAATATATATATATATATATATATATATATATATATATATATATATTCACTATTAATTATGTAAAAAGTGATTTTAAGGTGATCTAACAATTTAAAAATAAGAAAGATTGTGCAATAGGTTTTCATGAGACATGGTTACAGTGTACAACTTTCATAATTTCAGTATGAAACAAGTGAGTAAATAAAACTATGCTTTTTTTTTATAGCTAAATCTATATGTTGAGATATGTCCCCAAATGCTCTGGTACAGTCAAGGGTGATGAGAGTCAGTCAGAGCTGTGATACTGCTCAGGTGCTCAAATCGAAGCAGGTGGTTTTCTTAGAGAGGCACAGTCGGAGCCTTTGACCTAAAGGTCTGATCCATAAGGCAGTGGAGCATCGTGAGGAGATGCAGTCCCATGGTAGCCGGTGACCAACAATTGATTCATATGCCATTTGTTCCCTCAGGATACTGGGGCCCATGTGCACCATTGATTTAGAATCAGAGTTTTTCAACTCCCCTAGGTGGAGTTTCCGTGTTCACGAACCCGGTTAAAGCGCCGGATATTTGCTTTTCGTCCTCTCACTTTCGTAAACAACACCCCCGCCACGAGAAGTCAGTGAGTAGGACTTCCCTGTCAGAGGCTATGTACGCGTGGCCATGTGAAGGGATTTGGAGAGGGAGAGCGGACTCTCCCCATTCTTGGCAGTACCAGGGCATTTGGGGGACCTGAATATTGGAGTGAAATAAAACAGGAAATCATGTTCTAATTCAGTGTGATTTTTATCCACTATTAGCATTCGTTTTGAAATAGCATGACATATGTATACAGTAATGATAATTTTTTTATTTTTCATTTCAATGTGGTATTTATTCAGTATAACATTCTTTTATCTGAATTTAGTGTGAATCTCAATCAGTCTAACATGCCCCGGATACATTTTGTGGTAATTTTGCGTAAATTCAATTTTGTATTTTGTCCATTTCAGTTACTTGTGGTGCATATATATATATACAAACAAGAGTATTTAGCTGAAGATAAGCCTAATGTGCTATCACTTTTGCTTATTCCTTAAGTTGCACAAATCACAGTGTTTCCGTGGTCCAAATTTTCATTTTCTATAGTTATGATATACATATATACTCACTATTCAGGCCGATAATAAGAAGCAAATTTGATGTAGAAGAAACGGAACAGAAGATCAATATAAGTAATGAATGATTGCTTGCATAAATCATCAGGAATTAATATTTCTATCAAGATTATATAAATACTTAATATTCATTTCAATTATTCAACATTATTATTGCCTATGAAGTATCAGTAAATTAGGACTACTAACTTAACATTCCTTAAAAATCATGGAGGGGTTTTGTGGATATTATAGTAGTTTAATAGTTGAATTCATGAATCATTTGAAGCTAGACCACTATGGAAAACCTGGAATCACTGAACGGCCGTTTCTTCCCAGTATGAAACTCGTTAGCAGTGCGCATCCACGATCCCGCCTCGCGGGATACGAATCCAGGACCTATCAGTCTCGCGCGCGAATGCTTAACCTCTAAACTACAGAGTCGGGATCCAACGGTGTTAATATCTAACTTCAACGAATCCACGAAATTGAGTCACTGTCCACCATTGTCTTCAGTGTGTTACTATATCACAACAGACCTGGTTGAACTTCACTGGTCACGGCTTCTCACTAAAACTTTTGGAGACAGTCACTGTTCCTTGGAAAAACATGGTAATTTAAAATTATCTGCTTCAAAGAAGTGATAATTTTCTTCATGTTATAATCACAAGAACAGATATTGATATTTGATAATTAGTCAGCAAATATTACAAATAACCGAAATAGACAAAATACGAAATCAACTTTACACAGAATTAACACAAAACGTATGAGGTATGTTATACTGAAATGAGATGAATGTTATGCTGAACATTTACTATACTGAAGCCCATCTTAACAATAATACTTCTGACATCTATTCCCAGTCGTTATGAATCTTAAATACAGTATTCCCGACCCCCATACTGACCGTTGCTGCTACTTTGACGTGGTGGTCGGGCTTGCCTATCGTGATGAACCAATCGAGCTACACTGGCTGCAACAATCGTTCCTCAAGTTCTTACCATGCCAGACAGGTTGGTTGAAGAGCTGTAAGACTAAAAGCAGCAAACCCAAGGTCCGAAGACGAAGTCGTACTGCTGACTGTACAAAGGTGTGACGACAGTAAGGTGTTTTCTTCAGACAACCAGCATAACAGCGATGCTGCCTTCTCACAAGGAGGGGCGGGGTTAGAATAGGTCGACCCTAAAAATGCACACCTCGCCTTATCCCATGGAAATCCGTCTCCGGCGGTAAAGTCCTTTGAAGAACGGAGCTAACACGTCAAAAATCCTTCACAACAAGGCTGTGCGTGACCGGCCTCAAGCAGTTGTCCCATGGGCACTGCGGTCACCCTCCCAGGTCGTTAAAACCAACATTAATCCAATTTCTTTTTCAGGTCCCTCAAGAAATACCCTTCCACGGTGTGGGCAGCCGGGAAGTGATGTTAACCCTCATACCCGTGACTGAAATACAATATATTCTTTTCTTATTTTTTTTCTATAATAGATTAAAATCCCTTGTCCACTATATTTTGATACATTATTGGAAACATTTGAAACATCATCAGATTCTATATGGCCAGCTCCATTATCTGAAGCTATTCCACTTAAATTTATATCAAAATATTCTCAATCATTTCCTGAAAAAGTAACTAAATGGTTAAAAATTTTTAAACCAGATGATAGTTCAAAAGAAATCGAACAACAACAACAACAACAACCACAGCAACAACAACAAAACGAACAACCTATCTCTTCAGAAAAGGAGATCCAAATTACTTCAACTACAAATGAATTAAAACAAGACAAATTAGATCCAATGTTTAAATATATTACTTCTATTGATACATTAGATTTGAATGAATTGAATGCAATTATTCAAGTTAATCCAATGGAATTAGATAATATTATAGAAAAGTTATTAACTGAATTATCATCTTTAAAATTATCTAATCAAGATTATATTAATAAAATGAAAGAGAAACAAATTGAATTAGGTAAACAATTGATAGAAAGAGCAAAAGTTAGAATGAATGAATGGAATAAACAAAATAAATGAAAGTCGGATGAGTATTTGTAATATCAAAAGAAGGAAGTCATCTATTATGGTATATATAATTTTCATAATAAAGTGATACTATAAACAGAAGGGGTTTTTTGTGGAGATTTAGTATTTTTATAATTGAAAGCATGAATCAATTGAAGTTAGACATTTACATCATCGGACACCGGGCTCAGTGGTTTATCGGTTAAGTGTTCTGGCGCGAAACTGGTAGGTCCTGGGTTCGAATCTTGAGAGGCGGGTCCGTGGATGTGCAGTTCTGAGGAGTCCCACAATAAGACGAAACAGCTGTCCAGTGCTTCCAGGTTTTATTTGGTGGTCTAGCTTCAATTGATTTATGCTTTCAACTATGAAAAGTTATATTATTTTTCAACTCTTTATCAATAATAAAAGTGCATGTTAAAAAAAATACAAACCAGAGTTGAAGATATGGACCATTGGATCGTTATACAGTGGCTTAAAGATCATTCGCTTACTGTCAGACTAGAACGTTTTATGTTTAATCACTTATCAAGATTCTGTGTATGTACTGCCGAGATATTTTAAAGGAGAATGAAAGAGCTTGTTGGGATCCCAGATATTTTGTTACAGAATACTGTGATCAACAGATAATATCAAAACACTTTATGTGTGACCATTTTTGGAAAGTCCCCCTCCCCCCCCAAAAAAAAAACTAGTGGATATGAAGTGGTTTATTTAATTAATAGTAAATGGATGAAGAAAAATAACTATTACATGACAGGTACTACGATAAAAAACTAACATTCGATTAAGTTCTCATTAAAAATCCCAGATTATCTCGTATTATAACATTAAAACTATAAATAATTTTTATCGCTTGTTTGGAAATTGTAATATACGATAATTAGAAAAAAATAATAACTCCGAAGATTCTACTCAAACGACACTATATAACATAATACAAACTATTAGGTTACTGACAGAAACTAGTTCAATTAACCATAGACATTTTAGCCTGTTAACCAATGAAACAGATTCCTTTCTGAGATCATGAACTGATCAGTGTTAGATCATAAATGAAAACCTGAAATTCCTAATTTAGGGTTCCTCAGAAGTAACCATCAACAATTACCCACGTGGAACTCGAACACACTATCTTTGACCTTGCGTAAACACTTAACCTCTAGACCACTGAGCCGGCATCCGATGGTCTTAACGTCCAACTTCAACTGGTTTTGTTTTTCAAATGTTAATGTGATATGATGCGGGGATTGAATAACCCTACTAGTTAGTTCACTATGTTACTGGAGCAATCAATGTTAGCCATTACATAAATTTTTCATCGTAATTTTAGATTGGTTAAAAAAGCTTATATAAAGAGTTGCACTCATAGACTAAGTGTTACCGTCTGATATTTTCGCATTCCAGTCAGATACTAGGTACCTTTGATTACAATCTTATTTGTTATCCATCAGATGAAATCCTTAGTTTTATAACATTTCAAAAATCTGTACAAATTAATTTTATGTATATTGTTAGTTGACTAATGTGTCATAACAACAATCCTACAAACATTTATAAGCAAAGATGGATAGTGGCTAGCAATGGAGTCTAGGATGCACATATACCAACAAGAGACTGATCAATTGCCGTCCAAAATGACAATGAGAGGATACCAGTAAACAACAACAAGTGAACATAACTTCACCTCCTTGCACAAGTAGGTGGTTATCAGGACTCAGTAGCTAAGAGGATAATGCGATGGCGTTTGAAGCGAACGGTACTGGGTTCGAGTCCTAGAGTGAACATCAACTCCGAGATGCAGGTACATCCAGCTGACGAGTCCCATATAGGACGAAACGTGCGTCAAACTGGATTCCACTGCTAACCACTATGCATCTTTTCTTATAAATGTTTGCAGGACTGTTGTTATGACACATTAGTCAACTAACAATATACATGGACACGGAAACTTCACCTAGGGGAGTTGAAAAACCCTGATTCCAAACCAATGATGCACATAGGCTGACTCCAGGATCCTGAGGGAATAAATGGCGTCTGAATCAATCGTCGGTCACCGGCTACCATAGAACTGCGTCTCCTTACGATGCTCCACTGCTTTTTAGATTAGACCTTTAGATCAAAGGCTCCGAGTGTGGCCCTCTAAGAAAACCACCTGCTTCAGTTTGGGAACTCATGCAGTATCACGGCCTTCACACAAATCGAATGAGATTTATGCGGCGCTTATGTATCTGGTGCCTTCTTGTACCAATATTTATGTGTTTAAATAAAATAAAATAATGGATCATTTCACGAAAATATCCTATTCCTAAGGTTAGCTTATAATCTATCAATCAAAATTTAAGAAAGAGCTTCTTGAATTTCAGAGTGGAATTTATTTATACATATGGTTAAATAAGATTATGGCATTATAGCCACTGTCATTTCGTTTTGTAAGCTTTGACTTTAATTCCTAACCCCAAACTTCTAACCTTAGTTATCAATCGTAATTACTCATATTAATTTCTAAGTCTGTTTTAACCCTGGTAAGTGGTTGAACTTTCCCAAGGTCACTTTTATACAACTCAAAGATTGTCTATACATTACAGTTACATGTTTATTATTTCCTAGAGGTTAAAAAGGTGATACAACTGATCTATTTAATATAAAGCCAGAACAAATATTGATGCAGAATAATATGAATTCATTATATTTCGTGGTCTCTCATCAGCTGCTCACAACGAAATGTGTATTAGAATTTTAGCATTGGGGTAATAAATAGTGTGGGACAATTGAATGTAAAGGAATAGAATGACAAAAGGTTACCAATGATAACTATATATATATATATGCAAGAAAAGGTCAGAGGTTATAAGGTGTTATAATCAATCCATGAATTTAAACAGCTCCTGTTTCTGTGTACAAAGAACATACAATTCGAATTCAACAACGTAATGTACCGTCAAGTTGATGGAGTAGCCATGGGTGACTCTTTGGGTTCAATTCTGGACACACATTTCTTGTTTGCAACAATCATAAGCACTTCATGTCTCTACTAAGTTTGTTCAATCAGTTAGTCCGCTACAATGTAGGACCCGGCACATATATGCATCGATCCAAGTTGCCATACCTCGTTAGCACAACAATACGAACACCAGATTAATAGAAGTAATTAATCTAGTGGTAGTAGTATATAAAGAAAGGTTGTATATAAGGATATAGTATAGGAAGGATGAAAGTTATGAAGCAATTTTAGTCTCAAGGTTTAAGAGAAGATACAGAGTGTATACACTTACGCCATTGTGATCGATTCTGAGCCATGTCACCTAGAGTCTCTAACCATTGGTTACGATAGTCACGCGGACCCCAACCAGGTAGTCTGCATCTGCCAACAGGGCTCAGGCTAGAGGTTAGTGACTTCAAACACTGATGCCATGTTTTGGTTTGGCCGCCCCTAACTCTCTTCCAACCATCCCCAATACTAGTCATCATAGCGCGTCATGGTAAACGGTGTTCAGGCATACGTAACACGTGGCCCAACCATCTCAGTCGATGAAGATTCATCACCTCATCAACTGATTTACCATCGTTCCCTAATACCCTGCGTCTAACCTCACTATTACTTACCCGGTTATCCCAGCAGATGCGAGCAATATTTCTAAGGCATCTGTGGTCAAATACTAGTAACCTACGAGTATCTTCTACTCTTAATGGCCATGTTTCACAACCGTAAAGAAGAACAGAGCGAACTGATGCTCAGTATACTCGTCCCTTAATTGATAGACGGATATCTCGTCTTCGCCATAGGTGACGTAAGTTGGCAAAAGCCAAACGAGCTATTTGAGTCCGTTCAGAGATTTTGTTCGACATCAACCCATTGGGTCTTATCAGACTTCCAAGATAAGTGAAGTTGTCCACGCGTTCAACTGCTGCGCTCCCTATCCTTAGTTCAGGTGTTGACGCAGGCCAGTCCTGGAGTAACAATTTACATTTAGATGGGGAGGAACGCATTCCAAATATATTAGCATTGTTACTCAGTGTTAACAGAAGACTCTGCATTTGTATCAGCGTCTTCACCTAACAGGGCTATGTCATCTGCGTATTCTAAGTTTGTTTAATAAAGCATACAAGGATATAGAATTTACCATGGAACATGAAGTTGAAGGCAAATTCCATTTCCTAGATATTGGAATTATGCGAACATCAGTTGGTACATTACAAAGACACATTCATCGCAAAAACAGCTGGAGTGGATTATATATCAATTACTGCAGTTTCTTTCCAATGAGTTACAAAAAGGGTCTTGTACGAACACTTTTTGACCGCGCACGCAAAATCCGCTAAAATGAATGTCTGGAAGAAATTTCTCTAATCACTAAGTTCCTAAGTGAAAATGCATATCCGGCGAAATTCATCCATGAATATACAAGCACTAACCTTCAGGTAAAGTGTGATAGAGTGGAAAAGAAAACTTTCTTCTCATACTTACGTTTCAAAGGAGATGAAATCGCTAGAATAATTAATCACAGAATTAATCCTGCGTTGCAAGCGACCTACCCAGCAGCTAAACTGATAACGGTAGGGCGAAACGAAATGCTCATTCAAACAAACGAAAACCGACAAGTCCACTTTTCTCGGTAGCTCCAATTGCATTTATCAATTTACATGTACGTGCCAAAGCACATACATTGTAAGAACTGAGAGAAAAATACATGTTTGCATTTCTGAGCATGTTCCAAAGAAACTGAGGCTGCGAGGGACCAGGGCTCTCAACAGTGCAAAAGCTCGGCATTTACTTGACACCGGGCATACCATTGAAATTTCTCATGTTTTTTAAAATCATTAACAGACAAAGAAGTGCGGCTGCTCTCCGGTTTGCTGAAGCGATCGCGATAAAAAAACTTAAACCGGATCTATATTTTCAAAAAGAGACATTAATAATTACTACAGTATCAGAGTACTACTCTGATAATCCAATTTTGTGTTTTTTTCTTGGTCATTAGTTTTATTTTGGTTAATATTTGGTTTTGTATTATATTCCTCTTCCATTACCCAATTCTTAAACCACCCTTTCACTCACACATTTCCGCTCACTTGATTCTCTTAAATTATATGAACTCTCCAAATTCTATTCAATTATTACGTAACCCATCCTAATTGTTTTTAATTCCATGACTCCTTCATTACCTCTAAAATTATCATACAATTTATCTTATCTGTCTCTGAACTCCACTCAACTATTACACCACCCATCCTTTATGTTTCCTTGATTCTAATACCTAATAACCTCTGACCTTGAGATGGTGAAGATTTGTAGCTCAGGTGGATGATTTTGATGGAGTTTTGTTCTCTGACCAAACCAACCAGCGCAGAGAACAAAACTCCATCAAAACCTCTGACCTTTTCTTGCACATATATAAATATATATAACCTTTTGTCATTCCAATTCTTTACATTCACTTATGTCAATTGTTTCACACTATATCTTACCTCAATATAAAATTTCAATACATATTTGGTTGTAAGCAGCTGATGAGAAACCACGAAATATAATGAATTGATATAATTGTGCATCCATATTTGTGCTGACTTTATTTAAATTCATAGAGGGAACTAATTGCATGATCTATTTATATATAAATAGTCATAACTATGGGACACAGTTAACAAACATTTACTGACACTAAACGTAAACTAACTTTTAGTAGCTGAAAATGTCCAAAAAAACCCAACTTCAATGTTTCATAAATATATTGTCATTGGACAACTATCGTTATTAATGAATTATCTAACTTATAACGGCTATGTATTGGTAAATCATTCTCTAAAACTAATAGATTTTGTAAGTATTCGACAGTGATGTTGACCTTATTACTTTTAATGGCCAACAAATGCTTGAAAACGTTTAGTCGAACATCATTACCAGATCAAGCTATAACCTGACATGAAACGTTTCTCTTTCTCCAAACAGCTAATTTAGAGGTATCACGTTCTTTTATTTCTACAGAAATAAAGTAAGCTTTTCCTTTCCATTATAACATCACCTTCTTCTTTGCTTATTTTTATACCAATTCGTTGGAAGAGACATAGTTACTATTATTGTTCGATTCTATCTTGCTTAAGTGTATCTTCAGATTTGTAATCAAATTTTATTTTACTATATTCTATGATGATAAAAAATCTGCATCAATATTGCTAAGAATTAGGTCTATAAAAGTGAAATCATTGAAATTAAACTAAGTAAGACAATAACTATTGTGGTGTGGTCTACTTATATACACATTAATAGTATATGGTGAGGGTCTGACATAGAATGTATTCTGGAAGAAGATCGATAAGGAATGAACAGGAATGAAGCGCAATCGGTACGAAAATGCATGAACAATGAAATCAGAGACAATGGACTGATATTTACAGAAGGAACGGTTAAGATTGAGACAATTGATTGTTATTTTGCAAATTAACTATTCATTGTATGGTTATCAGAATTTAGTGAAATAGTCTGTAATTTGTGCTTAAATACATTCGATTGTCCCCACCTATGTTCTGTCTACTACACTATCAGCTGAAGTGTTAATTTTTTTTTCTATTTGTACAGTAAAAATGAAATAAACAAAGCAAACATTACAGAATGTCTTATACGAAAAAATATATATACTCGTTTTATTCAATATTCAGTTTTTTCTTGTTGAAGATATAGGGCTGTTGAAAATTAGTTGAGTTGTCAAGTGATCAATATAAAATGTAAATTATTAAGAGGATCTATTGTTGATTCATGGAGAAGATGATTATAAACTTTTGATAATCTTCATTTTATCAACTTTTAATTGATCAGCTAAACGATTCTTTAAATAGATAGAAAAGAAAAAAAAACAGAACAAATGTAAATAGAGATAATACAGAAATAGATAGATTACGTAAGAGCTACATTAATATATTTGATAAATTGAAATGAAATTATTTTGTATGATGAAAAAGATGATGTAAGTGTTATATCTCGAAGAGAATTATGAATGGTAACTTTAAGGACTATTTATGGACCAATATGATATGTATATTTCCTATTGTATAATTGTTAAGTAACTTAACTATTCATATTCATGTTCCTCTTATTATGAGCTTTATTTCGACCTATAGACTATTATTATACGATTTACCATTCTTGAGTTATCCCTAGTCCATTAATTACTGCCTCTCATATTCACAGCCACATTTGACCAAATCTTGTACAAATGTTATTTTCTATTTTATTTGTACGATGTAGTCTGTTTGATTGTGGTATATAAACATAATATGTTATAGAATAATGATTCATATTGCAGAGGCTGTTATGGATGTTCTGAACTTAACTGGCTGGGCTAGGCAGAAAGCAGGACTGATAAGTGCTCAAGACTGTTCATACGGCTTTCGGGTGTCATTGATCTGATCGATAAATCACTCCTCTCTAATTGGGCGGTCTTATCACGTTCATATATCAAACAGTGCACGTACGCACTCAATCGATATAACAGTAAGCCTAAACTTTGACCTACATTAGTATATTTGGACTAGGAGTAAATTGGAAAATTAGCTACAATCACTAAAACTAAAACTTTGGACTAGTGTTTTTATATATAGTCAATCATTGTTAATGTAAACCATGTCAAAAGATTTAAACTTTATGTTCATGAATCATACAATAATTATAATTTATTGTTAGAGATGATCATAAATTGATTTCCTGACAATTCCCTATTAGATATTTACTAAAAAAGATGAATAGAGGGAGGAAGTTTTGTTCCAATTAGTTGTTTTATCATAGTTTTACGCTAAGATATATCTGAATCACAGAAATAAAACAATACTGATTAACTAGTGGCTTAACATTCTTCGACACTACGGCGTACCTGAGAAGATAGCCAATATCATACGGAATTTCCATGATGGATTAAACTTCAAAATCATGCATGGAGGACAACTCACTGACTCGTTTGAGGTAAAGACCAGTGTCAGACAAGGTTCCTTACTCACACCCTTTCTCTTTCTCCTGCTGATCGACTGGATTATGAAAACTGTTGTATCCCCTGGCGAATTATGAATCATAAATCTGAGGTCCATTTATGGACAAATGTAATACGCCTATTCCTATTGGATAGTTGTTAAATAAGTGACTTAAATCTGAGGTCTATTTATGGACAAATACAATATGCCCATTCCTTATTGGATAGTTGTTAAATAAGTGACCTAATCGTTTCCGTGTTCCTCTTATCATAACCTTTATTTTGACCTTGGAACTATTATTATTGATTGCTTTCCCCCTAGCTACAGCCACATTGGCCAATTACTGTACAAATGTTATTTTTCTATTTTTGATATATGTGGTCTGTTTGGTTAGTATATATAACCCAGTATGCTTGTAAATAATGATTCATATTGCTGAGGCTGTTATTTGTGTTCTGGACTTAACGGGCTGGGCTAGGCAGATAGGAAGGACCGAATAGCACCCAAGACTGCTCGTACGTATTTTCTGTATCATTGCACGTTCACATATATTAGTCGGCCCAGAAATCTATACGTTATAACAAAAACGTCAACATCTGGAGGGAAACACGGGATACAATGGACAGCTAGGATGCAGCTGGACGATTTAGACTTCGCAGATGATGTAGCTCTTCTATCACACACGCAACCACAAATGCAGGAGAAGACGACCAATACAAATGTCAAGACAATTCTACTGTATGGGGCAGAAACCTTGAGAACTACGAAAGTCATCATCCAGAAGATACAAGTGTTTATTAACAGTTATCTACGCAAGATACTTCAGATCCGTAGGCCAGACACTATCAGCAACATTATGATGTGGGAGACAACAAACCAGATTCCAGTGGAGGAAGAAATCAGGAAGAAGCGCTGGAAGTGGATAGGACATACATTGAGGAAACCGCCTAACTGCATCACAAAGCAAGCCCTCACATGAAGTTCTGAAGGCCAAGGGAAAAGAGGAAGACCAAGGAACACATTACGCCGAGAAATGGAGACAGAGGAGGAGAAGAATGAACAAAAGTTGGATAGAACTAGAAAGGAAGGCCCAGGACAGAGTGGGTTGGAGAAAGCTGGTTAGTGGCCTATGCTCCATTGGGGGTAACAAGCGTAAGTATGGAATGGGCAAATACGTAAATCCAATAACTTTGATAGTATGTAAAAAGATGAACTCTTAAACCATGAAGAATATGGTAGATAACTCTCAAAGATTTATTAAAGTCAACATGTTCTATGTCCAAAAATAGGAAAGAACAGAACTCTTAATCACCCTTAACTACCCTTCGCCTAACCAAAGCCGATGATATTCCGATATATGATGGTGAACTTGTTGATTAGTACACCCATTGTAACTGGTTTTCGAAGAGGAGATAAATTAATAGATACACAAATATATGACGTATTTCATCAGTCTGTCTTTATTTATCGTTTTTCTTATTAGTTAGCTACAAACATATCTTAGATTCTATGTTGATTCTGACTGATCCATTTAAATCAGATAATACTTATATCCATTGTTATATATGTCTTATTAAAGAAAGGAATCTCATTACATAAGTTTAAGATATTGCAATAAATTCCCTTAGTTTAACTACAAATATCTAAAAAATAAATGAAAGGCTTAAAAACAGTGCAATATCTACCATTTTTAACCGCACAATTTTATAGTCAGTTCTATCTCTACAATGTATATATATATATAAACCTGACAAGCTTTTGGGTAGCACTGTTATAGTTATAAATGAATTTCTGTGTAGTTGTATTTTGCTTCTTTAAAACATAGATACATAGAAGATGATAATATTGATTACAGTATCTGTCACCGGATTTTGTAGCACATATCATTGTGACCAATTGTAGGCTTTTTAATAAAGATTCCTAAGTCGATTATACAATTAACCGTCTATAATTAGTTCGTGAAAATAAGTTTGAAATGGAAAGAATCATAAAAAAAATATAACGAACAAGTGAAAATGAAGTAATCTAGAAGTCTACATAGACCATTGATGTAATAAAGGTAATAAAGGTACTTTGAAAACAAGAAATTGATTATTTATTTATTGAAACACATAAATATTGGTACAAGTGAGTACCATATATATATATATATATGCGCCACACAAATCTCATTTGATTTGTGTGAGAGCTGTGATACTGCTAAGGTTCCCAAACTGAAACAGGTGGTTTTCTCAGGGAGCCACACTCGGAGCCTCCGGCCTAAAGCTCTGATCCGCAAGGCAGTGGAGCAGCGTGAGGAAATGTAGTCCCATGATATCCGGTGATCAACGATTGATTCATATGCCATTTGTTCCCTCCGGATACTGGAGCCCATGTGCACCGTTCATTTGGAATCAGGGTTTTCCAACTCTCATAGGTGGATTCTCCGTTTTCACCAACCCGTTTAAAGCACCGGACATTTGTTTTTCGTCATCTCAATTTCGTAAACAACAGTAGTGCCACGAGTAGGTAGTGAGTAGGACTCCCCTGACAGAGGCTATATACACGTGGTCATGTGAGAGCATTTGGAGAGGGAGAGTGGACTCTCCCCACTCTCGGACGTACCAGGGCTTTAAAATAGTTAATTTCTAGACCGAAAACATGATAATAAAACAATCTTTATGGTAATTTTGTTTCAAGACAGCTGTATAATGACCTATTAATCAATAAAAATGATTCAACAAGCTTGAAAACAAAAGGCACAAAGCAACCAATCATCTTTCAATTGTACTTGTTGTATAGAAACAATTCTTGTTCAGCAGAGATGGATAGTGGCTAGCAGTGGAATCCAGGACGCGCGTTTCGTCCTATATGGGACTCGTCAGCTGGATGTACCTGCATCTCAGAACTGATGTTCACTCTGGGACTCGAACCCAGTACCCTCGCTTCAAACGCCATCGCGTTATCCACTCGGCCACTGAGTCCTGATAGCCACTTGCTTGTGCGATGGGGTGAAGTTTGAATTCACTTAGTATTGTTTGTTTGGATCTTCCCATCGATGTGTTTAGGACTGCAACTGGTCAGTCTCTAATTGGCATATGTGCATACTGTGCGTATTGCCTCGATATACCTTAATTCACAAGCATGGGTTCGAGTCCCAGAGTGAACATCAACTCTGAGATGCAGGTACATCCAGCTGACGAGTCCCAAATAGGACGAAACGCGCGTCCTGGATTCCACTGCTAGCCACTATCCATCTCTGCTTACCATGCTTGTGAATTAAGGTATATCGAGGCAATACGCACAGTATGCACATATGCCAATTAGAGACTGACCAGTTGCAGTCCTAAACACATCGATGGGAAGATCCAAACAAACAATACTAAGTGAATTCAATTCTTGTTCACTTTTAATTTTAGCTATATTTATATAGAATTTAACCTTATATATGAGTTTGAAAGGAACAACTGAAGGTATGAAAAATATCAAGTTTAAGGTTTAGCAGAAAATTAAGAGTAAAGACAATTTGACCATCGCAAAGGATTTCGGATCATGCCAGTTAACGTCTCAAATGATAAACTATAATTACCTGCAGTATTTCAACTAGGAAGTCTGTAAATCTATCGGTACGACTCAGTTCAATATATAATTTTTCAACAGAATGATGCCCATATCTTGGTTTGGCAGACTGTAGTATTCTTTCTACCTCCTATCTGTTGGGGTAGATAGTGACTGTGAAAGGGTAACACATATTCTAATCAATTTAATCAACAAAAGGTTATTATATCATCAGCCTATATACCACTTGTACTTAGAACCCTAACGTTTAACTTCAGCAACACCCACCGGATGAGATACATTACTTTATAAAAGTATCTAAATGGTTAGAATCATTAGTCTATTAGAGATAATGGTCAAAATAAATATCTATCTGTGAAGTGAAAAAAATGAATCCTGTTGTATATTGTTTTACGAAATCTTAATATATAAAGTTTTGGTGGCAGGTCAGACTTTCAATTAAAAAAGAATTAGGTCAGTTTTCGTGATTTTCGATCTGATAAGAACAATAACAATGGAAATATTGACTATAAGATGGTGGTTGGAGGTGGTCAACAGGAAACCAAGGACCCGGGTTTCGTGCCACTCGTCACTCGTCAGTAAGGTGTACCTATATTCTTGAGGAAACTGGTGCTCCCAGACGGACTCGATCACGTATCACTCAGTTTCACAGTCAGAAACGTTACCACTGAGCTATTCGGGACGCGACCGACCTCCTGTAGGACTGAGATGTAATCACAATTGATTGATCACTAGGTGGTAATCAATGTCATGCGTGTCAAGTCCTTCTTAGTGCTGATCGAATGTTATTGACTATACTTGAAATTGACTGTCAACTTTCTTTTTAAATTAGTTGAGTAATTTATATTATTTAAAGTATGATTTATAATATCGTTACAGTGTCATAATGTTTGCTACGCTATATATGGATACCTATAAACTTATTAAAGATTGCTCATTACTTAATTTTATAAATTGACAACCAGAATGTAGAATATCATAGAAAATAAATTATCCTCCTTGTGAATAGTTCGGAAACGGAATTAGTGTAGTAGGAGTTGAAACATTTAACTTGACATGAATAATAATTCTTGGGTTCTAACCGTTTCCAACATACTTCAAAATGAACAGGCTTCAAGTATTTCTAGCTTCAAACTAAAAATATGAATTAGAGCTTAGTACGCTGAATTGCAATGGATAAATAAGATTTTTCAGTCAGTCAGTTACAACGTAGAACTTCGTACGTACGTACATCAGTTCGAGTTGCCATACCACATTAGTTAAAGATTCAAATCCCATAGTGGTAGAAGTAGTAAGATTATAAGCATTATGTGAAAGATTAGGGTTTGAAGATGTTATTTAAGAAGTATAATACAGTGAAATAAATTTGAAAAGAGAAAAAGGACAGGGACATGAAGAATTCAGAAGATTATAATTTGGGAGAACACAAAGAGTGGATGCACCTTCGCCATTGCAAACGATTTTGAGCCATTTCATTCAAGGTCACTAACCATCGATTGCTATCATCTCACGAATCCCAACCAGGTAGTCTACACCTACCAGCATGACTCAGTCCAATTCGATAACTTGAGATGTCATTTACGATAAAAATCACACTTCAAGTGCCAGTATGTATTAGTTAGTTTCAAAAGAATAAAATGGAATAGATTGGGAAACGCTTGTTTTAGAAATTAATGTGCCCTAGTGGAGGAACGTTTTCTCACTAAACTATCTTAGTGTTTCTCTAAACGATAAAGCAGGATTGTTTTATTATGTAAAGATTGATAGTAGAAGAAATCAATGAGTTTCTGCCATAATCTGTCAACATTTTTATAACGCCAACCGAATTCAATTTCTGAAAGACGGAATAGAAAAACACGAACACTCGAAACTACTATGTAAAGCTTCTCACTGTAATTCCCAGAACTTTAGTAAGAAACTGTGACTAATGAAGTTTAATCATGTCGAAAGTAAGACAGTTACTGACCGCTGTCATTAGATGATAGTTGGGCAGTATCGTAGGCTAGTTCGAGTTAGGAATGAAAACTTCTGAACACCAACTTATTGGTTTAAATTTTAAGCTCTTTCCGAGAGATATGACTTTGACTCATAATGGAGGTCCTCGACACTCACTGACGAGGAGTCCTATACTTCGTACCTTTCAATGGTCATTTGACTAAGATCAGGCAGTGATGTAGATTAAAAGAATTGTCAAGATTTAGACTTACCACCACAGTAATAGTAGTCACGTTTAAAGGAATCATGATTCCAATAAATATCATATACTGAATCAATAATAATAATGATAATAGTAATTATTATTTTCATATTCGAAAATCTTACTAAACTCTCAATCAATACTGGAGGATATGGGATACCACCAAGTTCATCGCATTCTGTCATATGTTCTCTTTCAAAATCTCCAGGAACTATCACAGGTTTCTGACTATCGACCTGGTATTTTTAAATAGTTTATAGAAATAAAACAATCATATGAATTTAAAAAGATGTTTTTTTTCAGCATTTTAATAATTATAATCTATTTTAGTTTATATGCATTCATTCAGTGTAAATTCCTTCAATATAATCATTATGAATCAGGTTTATATAGAATAAATGGAATGTGGTTAGCAGTGAAACTCAGGACGGATTTTTCGTCTTATTCAGGATTCTTCAGCTGAATGTAAACGCACTGCAGAGTAGATATTTATTCTAGTATGTGAACCCAAAGCCTTTCGTTTTGAACACCAACACGCTATTCAGTTAACTTTAAAATGGTGTTTTGTTTTTCTTTATGGCAAGAAATTTACATCGTTTAAGTATGGGTAATAAATCTAAGCGCAAAACGTTAGAATAGGAATCGAATTTTTGTGATTAAATCCAATCACTTTATCGCAACATTCAATATTCTTTTTCATAATAATCTCATAAACGGTTACGGCAATTTAGGTCAGAAGAATCCAGTCGGTAAAAATGTCAGTAAATAAAGACACAATGTAAAATAAGACATTGTATAATCTATAAACTGGTCCGTAATACTTTAGTATCAGAAGCAGTCAGTGACGTTTTGGTGTAAATCAGTAGCCTAATAGAAAACTACACTTGATTATTATAAGTGAAAATTATATTTAAAGTAATCTCAGAGAGTGAAACTTAAACAATTTCAACGTTTCGTCCACCAAACTTGTCTGGACTTCTTTAGGGCAATAATCAAAATCATCAAAGAGATATATAGCTTTTAACAATGAAATCAAATTTATACTGTACTAATCCAATCATATTTAGGTGTTGACTTCAGTAAATAGGACAACATGAGTCCGCTGAAAGCGAATCATGTGAAAAGTTTACAATAACTGAATGAATTGTGTGTGTGTACGCATGTGTAAGATTGAGTTATTAATAGTTGATATTGGGTGTTAACTTTGTTTTTTATTAAGTAAAAATAGAGGTGCAAGTTGAAGGTTGAAAATTGTTTCTGAATAACTCATGTGCATGTGAAATGAGAATCATTAAATACATAATCGGTTAAGTGCTCGCGCGCGAGACTGGTAGGTCCTGAGTTCGAATCTCGCGAGGCGGGATCGTGGATGCGCACTGCTGAGAAGTCCCCAGTAGGACGAAACGGCCATCCAGTGCTTCCAGGTTTTTCATGGTAGTCTAGATTCAATTGACTCATGATTTCAACTATACATAATTTAGTAGTTGAATTCATGGATCAATTGAAGCTAGACCAACATGGGAAACCTGGAAGCACTGGACATAATTGTATTGCTAAAACAACCCATATTAATTTCAGTGAGAATAACGATGAATTTAAAATAAACAGATTGGATGGCAATAGATCCAATTACTTGTTAACTAACATTCGCCAAGTAGTTGCTAGTTGAACAACATCCTTTCTGTTCAGACCATTCTTATTCGACAATATTCCATTGTCTTGAAGTTTCTACGGAATGCATGAATAACTTCACTACAATCAGAAAAACTGATAAACCCACTGCTACACCTTCTTTCTGTCTGTAAAGGTCTCCTCGAAATGTGAATAACGTGGTTCGTAAACACAATTCCAAGCACTTAATAACTTCGGATGGATCTAACGGGCATCTTAAATTCAAAGTTAGATTCTAAACAATGATAAATAATATATATATATATATATATATATATATATATATATATATATATATTGCTCTATACCAAAATCTTAAATTAACTGAATAGTTTTGAATTTCATCAATCCAATAGCATATTTAAACACCTATGATTCGTGACATTTTGGTAATATTAACTTCGACAAATTTTCTATATTCTTCAAACCTAGTGTAAAATCTATTTCATTGAGATTATATACTAATGTTATACCATCATTTGAAACCCGGAAGCATTAAACGGCCGTTTCGTCTTAGTACGACAATCCTTTGCAATGCACATCCACGACTCCATACGCGAGGTTCAAACCCAGGACATACGGTCTGGCACGTGAACGCTTAATCTCTAAACCACTGACCTGTTATTCAACGGTATTAATGTCTATCTTCAATCAATCTACGATATTGCATGAATATCTTTCACTGTCATCAATGGGTAACTGCCTCACCCCACACAGTTAACTCCACTAGTCACAGTTTCTCACTAGAACTCCGAAAATGGTGGTCTAACATTGCTCGGTTCATAATCACAATGAAACTCATTTAGTCATAAAATGCCGATAGCTCTTTGATATGAACAATACACCTTAGTTTCTGAATTATTGGAAATATGTCAGAAATAATTTAGTCAATGGAATCTATCTATCTATCTACCTATATATATATGGTCGTTTGTAGTGTACGTGTACTGCATTATTTGATTTGCTAATCCATATATTTTCTGAATTTGACCTTAAATATAACAAAGAAACACATGAAGTGATTCACTATAGCTACCAAGATTGAATAGTTTTTCACTTAAAAAATTGATTACAAGTCCTTGTTCACGTATTGATCAAGTATTTAACTGTTCTATAATAAAGTATGGTTGGTACTTAAATATTCTAAGACTAAATATTTTACGATGTCAAGCCTTAAACAAGAGTGAGGTAGTGTGAATTCCATGGAATATATGGATTGTGACAGGCTGTAGAATTCAGAGGGGGTATTTCGTCTTATTTGAGACTCGTCAGCTAGATCTATCACATAGTTGGTATCCACTCTCAGACTTGAACCTAGTATCTTTCATTTTAAATTCTAATGCATAATTCACTAAGCTTACACTATGTTTACATATAGGTACTAACTTGTTCAATAGGTATAGCATTTATACAGTTACTAATAAGGGTTTCTTATTAGCACAGATTTTACTTGATGGAAAATTTAATGTTTCGATTCATATGATAGAGAACTGAACATTGCCCAAATTATTCACTTGAGCTATGAATACTTGTACTCACCTCACAGAGAACATGATTAAAAAACGATGGGTTTAATTCGGATATGGAAAGTGTAAAATGATATCCATGTTCAGTATACAAAATAGAATAAAGAATGAATGGATCTACTGGATAGTAATTTATTTTATGTTATACTACTAATGTGTTTGTCCACAAATTATAGATAATACTAAGCAGAAAGCGTCGATCTATTTAAAACCTATCAGATTAATAATTAGCAATTTCACAGAATAATGTTCTATCTTGTTTTGGGTACCTCTAACTAACTTTTAACTTGCTCAGTGGTGCATATTACTTACTTACGCCTGTTACCCTTAGTAGAGCATAGGGCTCTTGTCAAGATTCTCCAACTAATTTTGTCTTGAGCTCTCGTTTCCAGATGTTTCCAAACGCTATTGATGATTTTGATGTCTGCCTCCGACTCCCTGAACAATGCGTTCTTTGGTCTGCCTCTTTTCCTTTTGCTTCTAGGATCCTAAGTTAGGGCTTGCCTCGTATGCAGTTTGATTTCCGCAGTGTTTGTCCTACTCATCTCCATAGTCTTTTCCTAATTACCTCTTCAGATGGAAGTAAGTTTGTTCTCTCCCACAGTAGGTTGTTGCTGATGGTATCCGCTCAGTGGACATTCAGGATATTGTGTAGACAATTTTTTCTAAATACTTGTACTTTTTTGATGATGGCTGTAGTAGTTCCCCACGTTTCAGCTCCTTACAGTAGAACTATCTTGACATTCATATTGAAAATTCAAACTTTGATGTTTGCTGACAGTTGTTCCATATGTTCTTCAACTGTAGGAATGACGCCCTTGATTTGCCAACCCCTGCCTACGTTGCCCATAGAGATAAGTATTCATTTATGGTCGATCATAGTTACGAAACACTTAACAGTACTAATCTTCATGAAGTCTATAGAAATCCACTAGCAGTTCCAGTGTGTCAACCATAAAATGCATGAATAATAGAAAAACAATATTTACGCTTAGAATACTAGAGAATATATATACTATGATTTTATTTATTATTACTTCTATTTAATTAGTTTTATCCTATTTTACGAAACCTTTATTATGAACAATGTTGATTTCTAAGCAAAGACGAATGGTGACTAGTATTGGAATCCAGGACGAGCGTTTCGTCCTACGTGGGGCGCTTCATCTGGATTTACCTGCATCCCAGAGTTTATGTTTACTCCAGGACTTGAAATCAGTACTGTTTACTTCAAATTCATTTGCGTTATCAGCTTAGCTACTGAGTCCTGATAGTCACTTGCCTGTACAATGGAGTCCTTTCAAGCAATCAATACCCCATTGCAAAAGCAAGCGGCTATCAGGACTCTAAGTATATAAGTGTATAAGCATATAACGCGAAAGGGTTTGAAGCGAATGGTACTGGATTCGAGTCGCGGAGTGAATATCAATTCTACGGATGCAGGTACATTCAGGGAACGAGTTTCAAATGGAGACGAAACGTGAGTCCTGAATTCCACTACTAGCCACCAACCATTTTTTTTCTTAACACACTTGTGACTTAAGGCAATATCGAGGCAATACACACAATATGCACATATTCCAAAAAGTGACTGATCAATTGCAATCCTAAACATCAATGAGAAGATTTAAGCAAACAATATCAAGTGAATTTAATGTTGATTTCTGTTTATCGTATTTCAATCAAATGTTTATCCGAATATACATTCCCACTTACATCAATTTTTGATTAAATTATTAAAAAAATGTTTTCTATAAAATACGTTTATGTACACATGAATCTTACCGGTGGTAAATTACGCATAAGATTGACATATTCTGATAATCGTTGTTCAAATCCTGGAGCAAACGCTTTGGGATCGATGGCTAGAAATGATTGACCCTAAAGTATTTATTTTTAAACAAAAATGATAAAAACACTCTGGTATAATAGTAAATAATTTTATGAAGAAAAAAGTCCAAAAACCATATGTGAATAAAATTGAATAGTTTTCTTAAAAAATCATCAAACTGAATTCAAACAGTCCTTAACATCAATGAGAAGATTCAAACAAACAATATATATGCGTAAGAATTGAAATTTACCCCAGTAAACAAATTAGTTGTTATCTGAACTCATTAGCTAAGTGGATGACATGATGGCATTAGAAGCGAACGGTGGTGAGTTCTAGCTCCGAAGTAAACATCAACTCTAAGATCCAGATACACCCAGCTAACAAGTCCCAAGTAGGATGTGACTCGTATCCTGGATTCCACTGCTAGCTACCGTCCACCTTTTCTTATAAAATCTTGTGACTTAATGGTAATATCAAGTCAGTCTCTACAGGTTGTACATATGCCAAAAAGTGACTGACCAGTTGCAGTCGTAAACGCCGAGGAAGATATTCAAACAACCAATATATATGGATTAAATTTAGAATTCTTTACTTTTATTTTATTTTATTTAAACACATAAATATTGGTACAAGGAAGCACCAGATAAATATGCGCCTCACAAATCTCATTTGATTTGTGTGAGGGCTGTGATACTGTTCGGGTGCCCAAAGCGAAGCAGGTGGTTTTCTTAGGGGGCCACACCCCGAGCCTTTGACCTGAAGGTCTAATCCACAAGGCAGTGGAGCATCGTGAGGAGATGCAGTTCCATTGTAGCCGGTGACCAACGATTGATTCATATGCCATTTGCTCCCTCAGGATCCTGGAGCCAGCCCATGTGCATCATTGATTTGGAATGAGGGTTTTCCAACTCCCCTAGGTGGACTTTCAGTGTCCACCAATCCGGTTAAAGCGCCAGACATTCGCTTTTCGTCATTTCAATTTCGTAAACAACAGTAGTGCCACTGTGAGAAGGCAGTGAGTAGGACTTCCCTGACAGAGGCTATATACGAGTGTCCATATGAGAGCATTTAGAGAGGGAGAGTGGACTCTCCCCACTCTCGACCGTACCAGGGCATTTGGAGGCAATTTAGAATTCAGTATTTATTTGCCAAATATTCAGATTTTCAGAGATTTAATAAAGTGTATAAAGTACGCATATTTCCTTTAAAAGTACTGAATACTAGTAGTTGAAAAGGAGAAATAATTAAATTCAAGAAAAAATTAATATAAATTAAAGTAAAGTAAGAGTATATGAACAAATGATTCAGTCTAACGTAGTTTAATACATTACTTACCCGATTCTCTCTTTAAAAAAATATACCTATAGTTCTCTCTTTAACTTCATCAGTGAGGTATACAACTTTAGTTTAAAATGCATAAATTCATATTCCACAGAGTATACACTTATTACTGGGAAGTTATATATCAATGAGATGCTATCGCTTAATTCTTTAATCATCATTATACGATATAATGATTCATGCTTATTCCAAACTTACATTGAATCATCAAGAGAGGGGTTAATTTATTGCTTGTTGTTCAGCTCGCCTATTTAAACTAGTTCTCTTTAAATAGAGCCTTCGTCATAAATTGAAGTTCTCTAGAAAATCAATAAAAACCAAAAATAGTTACAAATTACTTAGTTCAAATATACCGAAGACTCTTTAACAATGCTCATCCATGAATACACACAGGATCTGGCACAAGATTTTTAAGTCTCCTGGCAAACATTCATCCATCAAGTCACTAGGTCAGTATTCACTGCTCATGTTGTCTAATTTATTCAGTTTGCAATGTGGCTAAAATATAATCCAATATCATCTATTAATTAGACTATCGCCTCCGCTTAATTTGGATTAGTTGATTAATTTGATAAAAGACGATCTTGCAATGTTACATATTAACACTGTTGAATAACAAGTCAAGGTTAAGCGTTCACGTGCCAGACCGAATGTCCTGGGTTTGAACCTCGCGTGTGGAATCGTGGATGGGCATCGCAGAGGATTGTCGTACTAAGACGAAACGGCCGTTCAATGCTTCCGGGTTTCGAATGATGGTCTAGCATTGATTGATTCATAATCATAATGAAATTCAACAATTTTCACAATCTCATACTGACAAAAAAATGTATCAGAATACTAAATTTAGGTAATTTTGTCTGATTCAGAAAGTTTTAGGTCCTTAATAATTTGATGAACATCTAGTTAAGAATGGTGAAATATTTACCCATCTGTTTTATGAAGGCTCGCTATAACATGGTTGGTAATAAGCATATGAAATGGTTTTATTTTCGAAAATTCTTAGTAGCTGAATAGCCATCACAACCTTGTACTGATAACTACCAGTAGTTAGCAACAACCAAAACATACAATACAACTTTGAAATTTCATTTCTGCATGGACTTACCAGATTAGCCGGTTTATCAGTTGACAACCATCGACGAATATTTGGTCCAAATGCAGCATCTGCAATGATGCCGCATAATATTTCAACAAGCATCCCTAAGCCATATCCTTTATAACCACCTTATTAAGAACAGTAAAAAAATATGACAAAGATGAAATCGATTTTGTTTTTAATAGGAGTCATTTTTTCTATTAAGATGAAATGATCAAAATAGATGCATTTTCGAATATAGCCTTTTCTGTGTTGGTCACATAGTATTATTACTTTCAAAGAACTATTTTTTATCCATTCTAAAAGTAACATTTAGACAACCGTTTCCAGGTATCCAAATTGATACATTGGTCCAATCATAAATTGGCTAAATGAAAGTTGGACGTGATTGTCCAGAAAAATGGCTTACATTTCTGAGAAATGAGACATATAACATTGGTGGCATAATTATCTAAGAGACATCCCCTACTTGATTAATCAATCAATTTCCTTCTTACTTTGGGTCTTCTCACTCATGTAGCCGGTTGGGCTCATTTATAGGAAGCTCGAGTATCACTATCAGAATTGGATATTCCCCAACACAAATCCTTACACAATGTTACTGTCTTCTGCTATCTAGTTGGGCTGATCAGATGTTTGAAACTGGTATAGTAGCTGAATTAAATCACGGATCACCTCACATGATACTGATTTTATTTTAATTTTTGAAATGTTTTACATAATTTGGAAACAAATACAGTTAGTCTTCGATGAAATGACGCATTAGTAACACTTTTGACTACTCATTTTAATACTACATAAATTACTTTGAGATTCTTATAATTGTCTCGTTGATAAATGGTCACAAGGATGTAACAAAGGACCTTAGATCCTAGAAAGCATTCTACACTTTTGAATGAATCTGGTATACATTTATACTATTATTATCGATGATTAATCACATTTAAAAAAATTCTTGTTTATGATTGTCTGATAGACGTTGGTGAAAAAGCTTAGAATAACTCTTTAGTTGAATCAAACCAATAGTAAATGACTTTATTGAACAATGCTTCGTCTTGCTCTGATAATCATTAATTCTTTCGTGTCACTCTATCGATACATTAATTATTATATAGCATATATAAATAGACACATCGACTACGAATACTGAAACAGTTTTTCTAAAATCACGTATGCCATTCAAACTGGCCTCCTTCAATTTTCGCACTCTAATGCAGATCGCAAAAAAAAGGGTTGCCTATGTCTTTAAAAAGTTTTCTTATCGATGTCTGTTGTATATCCGAGACGGAACGCATATCCTGGATCCTATTGCTTAGCACAACTCTTCTATTTTATTCCAGATACAATTATTCTTATAGTCTTGTGTTCATGCTTATAAGACTAGTACAATTTCAGTAGAAAAGAAGAAATTTCAGATCAAATACAAATAAACGATTATTAGTTAACATACTATTTTCTTCTTCGCCACCAAGTGGCATTAATCCACCTTTTGTCATAACTAAATTTGGATCAACAGATGTCTAAAGAATTTCAAACAAAAAAGGCATGTACATAAATGAAAAACCATGAAAATAAAAAGATGAATTCAGAATACAGAAAACTGACTATTTTACATGTAGGTTACATGTAGGAAGTTATACTTATTAGTACTAAACTATTCTTATTATATAAGCAAAGATGGATAATGGCTAGCAGTGGAATCCAGGACGTGTGTTTCGTTCTATTTTGGACTCGTCAACTGGATGTACCTGCATATGAGAGTTGATGTTCACTCTGTGACTCGAATCCAGTACCTTCCGATTCCAATGCCATCGCGTTATCCACTCAGATACTGAGTCCTGGTGCAGGTACATCCAACTGACGAGTCTCGAATAGGACGAAACGCGCGTCAAACTGGATTCCACTGCTGGCCACTATCCATCTTTGCTTATAATGCTTGTGAATGAAGGCTATATGGAGGCAATACGCACAGTATGCACATATGCCAATAAGAGACTGATTAATTGCAGTCCTAAACATCAATGGGAAGATTCAAACAAACAATACCAAGTGTATTCTTATTATACTTTATTTGAAGGGAAATAATGTGTTTAAATAAAAAAGCCAAATAATGTGGTTAGTACGATAAAATAAAATGACATTGAATTTTGTTATTGCGATATAAAACGAAGCTTCATAACCTTCTAGAAAGGAACTTTGCCTTTTGATGTCTTAATAAGCCATCAAAATTAAGAATCAATCGTTTTACGAGGTTTACAAGTTCTATCCAGAGTTTATATTTGGTTCTATTATAAAATCTCGTCCATTCAAGAGATTAAATTTATTTTTGTTTGAATCAGTTCTCTAGTTATTTATATTTTTATCAATTATTTCTCATAGTTTTCACAGTATTAACGTGAAGATAAAATGACGTTATCATACTGTAATAATGTACATTCCGATCTTTTCCAGCATTCGTAGAGTACAATAGAGTCTACTGATATGACAGGATAAAAAGGCGAAATTATGTTTTCAACACATTGCTTGTTTATGCTCAGCATTACTGTCGTTTTAAATTCAGTAAGATAACTACATGATGTTTGCTTCCAGTGTGCTATTTTATGTACCATAACATTGATTTACTTCAGTGTGATGCTTATTCGAGATAATCTCATTAAATAAGTATGACAATCGTTTGTTAGGGTGTGTGAACATGTACCAAAATGGTTGCAGAAACAAATAGAATCCAATGATCCAATAAGAGTTGAGGATAAACATCCATCATCCTCTGTTGTCAAATATATAATCGAAACAGGCCATAAGATTGATCTAAACTCGACTTTTGTGGTGTTGTATAAAAATGTAAAAGGGCGTATGCCTTAGACATACGAAAATTCAAACCACCCTGGTAATATCAGCTTATTAGCCAGAGTGATTAGGTTTCAAATTGTTTTCACATTATTATTATTATAATTCCTTGAAAAAGCTTGGACCAGATTGCCAGGCGAAACGTTGGATTTAATTTAAAAATTCATTCGCTGAGATTTTACAAATATATTATTCCTATTTAATGTCTTACTTCAACTCGGCGCTCAAATACTGTGAAACTATTCGTTCTAATTTAGACGAGAGTTCTTATATAATATTATTATTGTTATTATTATTACTATTATTATTATTATTATTATTATTATTATTATTATTATTATTATTATTATTATTACTATTGTCCTTGTCTCCTCTTAACCCCCATTTCCAGTCTAGTTGACCTTTTATTTTTATGTATGATTTTTCTTAACAAGTATATGTGTGATCAAATTGTTCGAAATGTATTGCGCTAATATATCACATAGTTCTGATAATCTTCATCTTCATATTACACTATTGAAATAGTTTGTGTGTCAATTGTTAACCAATTGATATATGGTACTGAAAGTAAAGTATGGTTGGTCGTTAAGTGTGGACAAACAGTCACAGATTAAGGACTATTAAATATGTGATTTCCTTTCCTGTTATTATTTCTACATTGGGCTCAGTCTGTGTGACTGCTTGTAATTGTATTGAATAAAGTATACCCTAGTGTTAATCTGGTTCTCTATTATGGGTGGTGAATCTTTTTGAGTTTCATACAACAAAAGTAAAATATACAGTATTTCTGTTCTGACTGTTTCATCTCTACAGAAAAGTTAACCTAAAATAGTTTGAAAGTAGTGGTTTGGTTAATGGTTACCTGTTCTATGATTTATCTCATAAATTACGCAATCAAACCTTAATTTAGACTTCATTTAACGATGACTTTGTTTATTGTTGTATATTTGAGTGATATGTACCTAGTTATCTTCTTTTGGCGATATTTTCTTATTTCATATCAACTCAATAAGAGATGAAAAAACGCAGCCACATGCGTAGTAATTAAACTATATGGTGTATAATTAATTAATAAGACTTTCGTTGTAAGACAGAAAAACTGTAAGAAAGAAAACTATTTGTATATATGTAAGAGGAAATCATCAAAATACCATTTTCATATCATAAAATTAACCTTAAGTAAAATCAATCAGTCACAATGTACATCAGTTCGAGTTGCCATACCACATTAGCACAGAGATACAATTGTCGATTCAAATCCCATAGTGGTAGAAGTAGTAACAGTATAAGCAGTAGTCCGAAAGATTAGGGTTTCTAGATGTTATTTAAGGAGTATAGTCCAATGAAATAAATTTGGAAAGAGAAAAAAGAAAGGGACATGAAGAATTCAAAAGATTGGAATTTGGCAGAACATAAAGAGTGGATACACATTCGCCATTGCAAACGATTTTGAGCCATGTCATTTAAGGTCACTAACCATCGGTTGCCATCATCTCGCTCATCCCAACCAGGTAGTCTACACCTAACAACATGGCTCAGTCCACTTGTCAGTGACTTCATGGATTTGTGCACGTTTTGGTCTGGCTGCCCATAGCTTTCTCCCAACCTACTCTTACGCCATAAAACATTGCACGTCGGAGCAGTCGGTGGTTGGGCATACGTAACACGTGTCCCATCCGTCTCAACTGATTAAGTTTCACTACTTCATCAATCGATTTGTCATCCTTATCTAGTGCCCGTTTCCTAACAACTGCATTACTTACTCGGTGGTCCCAGGATATACGAGAAATGCTTCGAAGACACCTATGATCAAATACTAGTAGCCTACGAATATCCTCTACTCTTATCGGTCATGTTTCACTACCACAAAGCAACGTTAATAACAATTGCGAAAGAGTATGTTAAAAAGTCATCGTATTTCTCTGCTTCTCTTCAGTTGCTCAAGATCAAAAACAATGTTATTAGTCATTTGAAAAAAACTAGCATGTATTTACTTTATTATACGTATGCAGAAACGTTTTAGTCGGGGCTGGAGATTACATAGAAGAAAATAATACAGAATATTAGATGCGGAAGAATTTTTAAAATTGTCTATACAGTTAACTACTTCTCATAGGGTTAGTATTTTAGATATTCGGTTACAGTCATTATTCTTACGTTACTGCGATTTATAAAGAGAGTAAATTATATAGTGGTGTTATCTAGTTATAAACATTATACTCGGAAAATAGCCAGTCAGTCAGCTACACTGTAGGACCAGGCACATCTATGCATCGGTCCAAGTTGCCATACCTCCTCAGCACAACAAGATGAACACCAGATTCATAGAAGTAGTTAATTTAGTAATGGTAGTATATAAAAGATATGTTGTATATAAGGATATAGTACAGGAAGGAAGACAGATATGAAGCAATTTTAATCTCAAGGTTTAAGGGAAGATAGGGAGTGCATACACCTACGCCATTGTGATCGACTTTGAACCAAGTCACCTAGAGTCTCCAACCATTGGTTACGATATTCACGCGGATCCCAACCAGGTAGTCTGCATCTGCCAACATGGCTCAAAGTAGAAGTTGGTGACTTCTTGCTCTGTGTATCAAATAATCCACGTTGTTGTACACTGACTATTAATCGATTATAAAATATGAATTATCCTATTGGTATTTTGTAATCCCGAAAACATTATTCATTGTATACAATAGAAGCAAGTTTCAAAAAAAAGAGATCAAATGAGACGAATGCTTTAATGACAAAATGTTGTATTAAATTACTGAAGACAAACACGAAACATAGAATCATTTTACTCACTTTCCCGTCAGTATCAGCACCCCATCCTTTAGGTATTTCAATGCCTCTTCTTCGACTCATTTCAATCTTTAAAAAAATGTTTAAACAACAGTGAACAAAGAATTTTACTATACAGTAATATTAATTATTCTAACGTGTGTATAGAAAATATAAAAAAGTTCCAATATTCATTTGTTCATGTGGTACTTAGTTACCCTGTTAGTCAATATTTTGGTGAACATTAGGTATTTTCCAAGATAAGTTTGATAATATGAAGTAGTTTTCTGGTTTTAAAATATAATTAACAATGATTGCTGAACCACTTTACATTTAATTGTCGTTGAAATGGTACTAATTCAAGAAGTTGCATCAAATTATATCTAATATATGTATTAATTAAACAGTCACGGATATTACCATTGATCATCCAGTCATAAATGATGAAGAAACTGAGACATAAGTTAAAATTCTCAGACCATATCAGAATAGAAAAATGAAATTATCAAGACAAATCTCAGAGTAGTATTAACAGTATCAGTAGTAGTAGTAGTAGAAAAGACTAAACATGAACAAGGTGATTTCAGAATTAAGAATGAATCCGCAGAATAATGGAAGATAGATAGTGAACCCATCCACTTTGTCATGACCGACTGTGAGTTATGTCATCAGACGTCCCTTACCATTGGCTGAAACACACCGTGCAGACCTCAGTCAGATAGTCTAAACCTTTTTAAGTTTCTCAGTCCAGTAGTCACTGTCTCCATGGACTGATGCTAAACCTTGGTTTGATTGCCCCTAGCTTTCTTCTAAACTACTCCAAGACTAGTAAACATTGAGCGTCACCGTTTTCAACAAAACATATCATAAATCTGATGATGATTGTTTAAAAAGAAAAATAACCATTCATTGAATCATCATATTATCTTCAAGGAATAATTACTTTATACGTTTTTATAAAGGTAACTGTCTAGGATGTGATATTTCATACACCCTGAGGAAGATTACTCTTTTACTCGACTTTAAAAATAAAATTATCTAATGATTTAGGAATGGTTATAAGGATTACAAAACTAAGGGAATCATTCAAATTTATCACTGTAAATTGACATCACTTAGCATTTATCTTTATCAGTGTTTGTGGAAGGATCTTTAACGTTAATATTTTAAATGATTTGTGGTATTTTTCAAATAAAAGAACATAAAGTAAATAAAGAAAACTCACTTTACCCAATGCTACTGCACTTGTAGCCATATCTAAAACAAAATGATCCTCAGGAACCTTGCCAGGTGCTGCCAACGTGATTGGATTTGTTCCAACAGCTAACTGTTTGTTGTTTAAATAGAAGAAACATTAACAAGTAAATAAATGGTAGAGAAAGAAGTAACAATGAGGCGTAAATTGGAGAAAGTTTCCAAAAACCCATTTATGAGAAAATCTAAAAACAGTTCGTTAATCTAAAGTTTCTGGATTAACTTCCAGGATAAAAATTTATATCACAGTCAAAGATGAGGAATTCAGTACTAAATCTATGAGAAGAACAATTTTCAAATAATCCTGAGATGTTTCACAAAAACTGATGGGTTACAGGTGTATGATAAAGGAATCAGATGTTTTTGATATTCTTACCAAAGTTACCTTACTTGTAATTCAACTAGCAGTTTGAATGAATTTTCTTATAAACTAGACTTAATCATCTGCAATACGTTTTTAGTCTGTGGTTTGGAAAAGGTACTGGAACTAAATGGATAATTTTGGGAATGACATAATTAGGAGTTATGACGACTTTCAAGGTTTTCTAAACAATAAGGACAAACATATGAATATGGATTACCGTGAATCCGTAGTAGTTTGAAGGAAATATTAGTGATTTCTTTCAAAGTTTGTAAAATATATTTTTTTGATCCTTAGTTTGCACATTTATCAGATAGAGTAGTGTAAACATTTGTTGTGCTTTAATCAGAGTTAATCTACTGGTCAAGTAACAAACAGATACAAGTTTTATGTGTATAAAAATTTCAACAAACACTTTTCGGTTACGAATTCATGGTATTCGGTTATAGAATTAAGGTCACTTAGAGTGAATATTAATCGAAATATACAAATAATTTACTAAATACTGTCATAATTTTGATTATAAGCTGGTGAATATTTACAATGTTGTGCAGTCATAAAAGCCCTTAAGAATACTTGTTCAAATCCTTCTTTACGTATATGCTAGGACACTTAACGAAAATGTGAAAAATATATATTTTTGTTTATATCTTGATTGCATCTTTAAAGTTATCGACTAAAACAGCACTTCTTCAAACAGTACACTTGTTATATGATGGTCAAACGACTTGTTAGTCAAACAATAACACCGTCGGATTCCGGCTCAGTGGTCTATCGGTTAAGAGCTCTGGCTAGAGACCGGTAGGTCCTGGGTTTCGAATCTCGCGAGAGCGGGATCGTGGATGCTGAGTCGTACCATAATGGGACGAAATGGGAGTCCAGTGCTTTCAGGTTTTCCATGGTGGTCTAGCTTCAACTGACTCACGCTTTCAACTATGAAAATACTATATCTCCACAAAATCCCTTCTGATAACTTGGTATTAGTTGTGCAATGATTATAAAATTGTGACAAAACTGTTCATATACATATGTCTTTTAGAAAGCATAGTGGTGTGTATCATTAGCCTTTTACAAATTATGCTATATGATTACTGAGCCTGTAAAAGAAAATAAGTATTGATCGAGTGTTGGATATTAAGTTATCTATCTTTTTAATTATTATTTTTTGTTAGTAAAATGGATAACTATTTGAACATATAAAACAATGATTCATGCAACTAAATTGTTTTACACAACTGGATTGTATAGTTTACGAATACAAGTCATAAACGTAGTATAAGAATGTAATTCATTATTCTTTTCTCCCATAAACCAAGATGATTAATCTTTGCGTTCCAGCATTGTTCTGGTTGCTGGCTTTTTCCTGACTAAACAATACGAAAATCAATATATGACAAACGTTTTTAAATAAGGTGTATTTCAAAAGAGGAAAGTTGTTGAATTATAGCTATTTGAGGAATAAATATTTTTAAAGATAATTTTCTTTGCAAATTAATATAATTTTCGTGAATCATAGGAGACTAGGGTGTATCAGACATCCGTTTTGTCTTACTTCGTGACTCCGTAACACTACATCGGATTCGACATGAGACCTTCAGATTGGAAGCTAAAAATATTGACTACTGAATTCCAACTCAAATGTGCAAATAATGCTTTCCTCAGTAAGAAATCTAAATATTCTGAGTTTGGGACCCGATAAACTGAAAAAAACCGTTCTTATTTTCAAACTTTTTCCCCGCTGATGTCAGTTTATGATAAAAATCACCTTCAAACAATCAAAAATTTTCCCCAAAACGATACATGAATCGAAGGTTGCGAAACGTCTGCGATCTCTTTCATTTATATCGTTCAGTACAGATTCTCATTAGTTTGGTTGTTTAATCGTGAGTTCTATTAATCTGTAAGAATGGAATAACGATAAGTTGTGGTTCCATTTGACTTCTATTTTACAGCCCATCGTGAGCTGTTAATTAATTAATTAATTAATTAAATTTTTCTTTATACATCAAGGCATTTCTACGGAGTATTTCGTAGTGACATACCAATGATTATTGTTTAGCTAATACATTCTTCACTAGGTACTGAGTTATTCATTCCCATACAGTGATAAGAACTAACTACAAAAGTATTGACCCATAAATTGTCGAGAAAGAACATTACTTAACTAAATTCAACATGAATGATGCAGAATTCCATTTCTCAATCGAATTCCCATTTAAGATTATCAACATAAGTCTAGAACACAAGTATATTTCATTTGCTAGTCCCTTATGATGAAAAATATGTTTGCGTGTTATAATTGTTTGATCGCTTTTGTGTTTAAATATATCAGTAACTACAAAAATATGGAAATCTAGTATCAGTCACTATCAGCCCTTATATGCAGTAAAAATAAGTTGAGCTGGTATAATCTGTTTCTTTCAGTATAGATGTCTTCCGTTTAGTTTAAATTTTTCTCAAGCTAATTTCAAGAAGGGATTTATACTATGACAGATAACATCGTTCGTTGAATATTATCAAGATGATTTTATTATTTATGGACTTAATAAAATAGCTCGTAATCAAAAACTTACCGCCTATTTAAGAAGAATATTATTAAATATTTAAACAAGCGTTAATTCTGTGTACCCAGCTTTAAATGTCATGAATATTTAGTTGACAGTGACAGTTCTAAGACTATGTCTGAAGCGAATAATTCCACTTATAGACGTACCATTTCTAAAAGCCCCTATAGAGTTATGGGGTTAGGCATTTACCAAACAATTATAATTTTTCACAAACACTACGAAAGCCAGTTTTATGTACATCTTAGAAAAGCATTTGGCTTAGACTGAATTTTATGAAAGGCTATGAACCTCTATTCATCTACTAAAATAGAATAAAAGTTACTGCTGAATCAACAAACTAAATACATGGTAAACACTTCAAAGGAATTTTGTCTGTTCAACCAAACACATGAGGCATTTTAATGTGTGGTGGTCATTGTTGTGTTCTGTAACATTAGTTACCTCAGTACTTGTTAATAAATAGTTGTTTAGACAGTTAAAACTGAAAAACGACTTTAGAAAGTGTATCAACAATTGTGAACACTAAATACTCACCATTCGCTGCACAATAGGATGTCATAAAATAACCACTTCTCTGTCTTATCCAGCCACACTTAATATCACTGAACAATATTTATTATATCAGACGCCAAGAAAACGCATGTGTAACTAACAAAGGTTAGTAGTGATAAAATAGCAATGTTTAATAAAAATGATCTGAACTATATGACAATTGATGCCATTTGTTTTTCAATTGTCTATATAGTTTACAAGCCGTTATTTACGTATTCTTTTTTTTAAAGACGAAATCAACTTTACTCTATTAAAAACAAACCGTATATGGTAAGTCCTTTGAGATGTTAGGTACTACCTAACATTATTTTCCGAATCGTACTCAAGTGGTTACGTATGGGCCAGTAATCACGTGAGAAAATCCCATGAGAACAATCAAAAGTGTTTTGTTAGGAACTCGAATCAAATCGGGACCAATATGTAAAGGAATTATTAATTAAGACAAACGTCATATTAATTATCAAAAGGGGTTCCGTGGAGATTTAGTATTTTTTTCATAGTAGAAAGCATGAGTCAATTGAAGCTAGACCACCATCGAAAACCTGGGAACACTGGACGGCCGCTTCGTCCTATTATGGGACTCCTCAGCAGTGCGCATCCACGAACCCGCTCTCGCGAGCGAGACTCGAACCTAGGACCTACCAGTCTCAAGCCGAAGCCCTTAACCGATAAACCACTGAGCTGGCATCCAACGGTGTTAATGTCTAACTTCAACTGATCCACGAAGTTGAGCAACCATTCACCAATTGTCTTCAGTGAGTTCCTATCTAACAACAGACGTGGTTTTGAACTCCACTGGTCACTGCTTCGCACTAGAGCTCCTAGATATACTTCTCGAAGTCACTAGTGAGCATATGATTATATTAATTATCAGAAGGGGTTTTGTGGAGATTTAGTATTTTTCATAGTAGAAAGCATGAGTCAATTGAAGCTAGACCACCATGGAAAACCGTCCAGTGTTTCCAGGTTTTCCATGGTGGTCTAGCTTCAATTGACTCATGCTTTCTACTATGAAAAAAACGTCATATTATCAAACCATTCGTTGACTGTCATCTATTGAATTTCCAACAAATCTTTTGTCTCCGGTTTATATAGGAATCAGTATTTCTTTTTGTTTGAAATCTCAGAGAACTTCCCATAAAGCCCTGCTGAAGTCAGGATTTCACTTTTTCAAGTGACTTTCTAATTTTGTACTTTCTGCATCATCCTTACTAGATCTTATATTGACTCATTATGAGGATGATGTTGCAAACCTGGATTACATGCCACCCCTAGGCAAAAGTGATCATGCAGTTTTAAGCTTTGACTTCCATATACCTGTCGATCACGAGTACGCTTCAGCTCAATCCAGACCTAACGTCTGGAAAGCAAACATAGCAGACATCATGAAATCAGCATCATTAGTAGATTGGAAATTAGATCCAGAGTCATCAATCGAAACGGCTTGGGACGTATTCCGGAATTTATACTTAAAAGTTACCACCCCCCACATCCCTTGGACTACACCTAAGAGACCGAGAAACTCCCCACCGTGGTTCAGTAGGGGGGTTCGCATCCTTCTCCGTAAAAGAAGGAAAATGTGGGACAGATTTATGTTACTGGGGACTGACGAGGCGAAATCTCAGTATCAAAAGGCTCGAACTACCTGTGCCTCGACCCTCCGTAAGGCCAGAAAGCTGTACGAAGAGAAAATCGTTAGGGAATCCATAGAATGCCCTAAACGCTTGTATTCGTATATAAACCAAAGGACAAAAAGAAGAAGAAATGTTCCTTCACTATGGGGAGACAGTACTGCCACATCACTAGTGGAGGATGACTTTGGCAAAGCTCAAGTATTCTCTAAATACTTTAGCGATGTATACACCATAAAAACACCCTTCTCACCAGTCCATGAAAATCCACCCACACAAGCACTGGACAGCGTAACCATTAAAGAACTCGATGTCTTTGGTCTGCTAGTTAAGCTTGACATAGGTAAATCCACTGGACCCGATGAACTGCATCCTAGGTTATTAAAGGAATTAGCTAACTTTGTTGCGAACCCTTTAAGTGTATGTTTTAATCTATCCGTAACCCAGGGTCGTCTACCAAAAGACTGGAAGAACGCCATAGTAAGTCCAGTCTTCAAAACAGGTTCAAAACATAAGCCTGAGAATTACCGACCAATTAGCCTAACTAGTGTGGTTGTTAAAATCTTAGAAAAGATTATTCGGAAGGAACTGTTAAAGTATCTCGATGAAAACCGAATCCTCTCCAAAAAGCAGCATGGTTTTAGAACAGGTTACTCTTGTCTCACAAACTTATTAGTCGCTCGTGAAAGCTGGTGCGCTCTTAAGGACCAAAAATTACCTATAGACGTAGCTTACATCGATTTCAGCAAAGCTTTCGACAAAGTTCCGCATAACCGGCTGTTATATAAGCTAAGGAATGTCGGGATTGGAGGCAATCTATTGATGTGGATAAAAGACTTCCTAGTTGGGCGTCAACAAAGAGTAAGGGTGAACTCCAAGTTGTCTAGCTGGGAAACTGTGCTTAGTGGAGTCCCCCAGGGTACAGTTTTGGGGCCAGTGTTATTCCTCCTGTACGTAAATGATCTCCCTCGTCTACTATCGTCATCGGTCTTACTCTATGCTGATGATGTCAAGATATGGAGAGCGATACAAAGTAAGTGTGATAGCTGAGAAATACAAAACGACCTGGAGAAATTAACTGAATGGTCCCAAACCTAGCGATTGCCTATGAATACTTTCAAGTGTATTGTGATGCATATTGGCCGTCAAGGTACAGATACATACACGATGAATAACACTGCGCTACCTGTTGTACAGACATACAATGACTTAGGAGTCATCGTTAGTCAAGATTTAAAGACTACTGCACACTGCCGTGCAATGGCCGCCAAAGGTTTTAGAACTTTATGGTCCATACGCAGGGCTTTTAGTCATCTCGACGCTAAAACGTTTTTGACTTTGTATACAGTGTTCGTACGCCCTAAACTTGAGTACTGTATACAAGCAGCTAACCCCTGCCTAAAAAAAGACAGTGAACTCTTGGAAAGGGTTCAGAGAACAGCAACTAGGCTGATTCCCGGAATAGCGAAGCTCCCGTATGGTACTAGACTGACCAAGCTAAACCTATTCCCGCTGTCATATAGAAGAATCAGAGGTGACTTGATTATAGTTTTCAAATTGCTAAATGACAAATTTGCACCTGATATGCCCTCATTTTTCTTGTCTTCCAAAACAGAAAATCTACGAGGACACTCCAAAAAAGTTCACAAGCCCAAAACGAATTACTTGTCAGCTGACTACCGACTTTCCCATCGAATAATCAACGAGTGGAATTCATTACCTCAGCACGTGGTTGAGGCTCCATCCGTCGACTCCTTCAAAAGAAAGTTGGATCAGCTGAGAGACCATCATTGCCAGGACTAACACAGGCCATCAAGCCTCCTGTCCTTTCCAAACTGAAACTGAAACTTTAACATTGAAAAACCAAGTCCCATGAGTTCAGTTAGTTTAGTTTGATGAACATTCTGTCCAAAAAATTGCCACCAGGCACTGAATTAATAGAGCACTGATATGCGAAATTCGAAAACTTCAGGTTTTTACGTTTTATACGGCAATCTTCCCACCTGAAGAATCTTAAAGTTTAGAGACAATCAAAATAAATGTCCTTAATATAAGTTGACAGAATTTGCTTATATACATGAATACTCTGTTAAAATAATGAAATATAGTTGGAGTACCAGAAAAACAACAGTATCAATAATAGTCTGATTTTTATCCAAGGTTCGAAGACATCATTTACAACATTAATAGTCATGCATATATGTTTACAATTTATCTCGGTACTTACCCTTCGTGATCGTGTAGGAAATACCAGGGGAGAAGTGTTCGTAAACGCAAGGCCCTGAAACCCAGAGATTATAAAAAGATGAAATTACGATAAGTCCTTGTTGCAAAGCCATGAGACTGTACCATCCAGCAATACCAAAATGATTTGAACCTGAATGTAATTTGTTTTATATAGTCAAAGTTTACCAAATGACGTAACGAAAGCGATCCCTGTTTCATTCGCTTTTTTGATTGCTGTCTCCATCGAAAAATTTCCTACAACTGGACCTAAAACATTTTTTCCGTCTACTAGGGCAGTGGATACTGTTTCTTTCACAATTGTGGGTTCTAAATCCGTTGAGCATACACCTTTCTGAATATCCTGTACATACATTTCTTAGATAAATCAGGAATGTATGCAATTTAACTGTTTACCTAGTCTATTCAGCCCATGACTATAATGACCTCGATAGTCTCCAGCAACTAGGACATCGCTGAGTGCTGTTGCATGTTTTAATTGTGCCCCAACTTTTTGTAAGCACTGAATGCAAAATTTCTTGACTTCCTCAGTTGAAATAACTTGTGAATATCCAGGGGGTGTGTAATGACTTAGTTTTCTACCGCGACTGCCAAAAACACCGAAAAAGCGATATCTCAATACCATTTTTAAAGCACCCACGGTAACTTTCGCGTCACCAATATAACTCCGATATATTTCTCACGAACTTGAGTAAACAGAAAGCTTTTTTTCTGCTCGCTTCTTAATGTTTCGGTACAGTTCTAAGTATTCGGTTATATCTAACTGGTATAATTCTAGTCATTTTGGGAGTTATTTGTGAATTTGTATTGTTCTTGGGGGATTGTTTTAAACTCAAGGTTGTCACGTCAACCTATTGTATCACAAGCAGGAATAGTGATAATATTTACGTTCATATAGTCTCATAAGTTGTAATATTATGTTTTTTAAACCAAAAATCTAGATTTTACCATGAAGTTGGCTCTGGCTGTATTTGTTTAATTGCCACGTTGACTGTGTTACGCTAGACATGGGTTGCATGTCAGGGTGATATCTTAACTCACAGTAAGTTTAATCACATCATCATTTCTTCAAGCAGGCATCAATGAATAATGGTACTCGAGAAAGTTTTATTGCACTGTAAACAATGTTTTCGTGAGAAAGCGACTGTTGTTTTCAGTCTCAAAACAATATCATGTTCCCTCTGTTGGGTAATTTATACTGGCCTATAGTTCGTGTTTTGGGTCTATAGGCTTAGTTACCTGTATTTAAATGCTTTGAGCAACATATTGTGAGAATGGAACAATAATTATGACACCTACTTAATTATTCTTGGTTATTGTATAATTGACTTAAGTCATTACAATTATACAATACTTTAGTATAGTGCTTGTAGTATATAATGGAGCAGAACAGTTTAGTAAGTAGAACTGTTTATTCATTTCCGTTAGCATGCCTAAGCGTCACAAATAGAAAACAATCAGTGCAAAAAATTGAGTTTGCATTGCAAGATATATAGCTACAGGAAGATGAAGTTGTGAGCTTGGAATTTATGCAGAGCAGAGGGGATCACGAGGATGTTATTAAATTATTATTATTTATTTATTATTATTATTTATTAAATTCCCACTAGCCATAACATATCGCCAATTCATTTTGTTAATAAGTTGCACGTGAAAGAGTAGTTAAATGAACCCATTGTTATAACAGGCTTTAATGACAACGACAGAGATACTACCGCGAATCCCATATCATCCTGCCCTTATTGAGTCTGGAATGGCATTGAACCCGAACCACACGACTTTTGAAGTCGAGAATATAATATATCTAATTACTGAACCGACTTATATATTCAACAATTGAAACGAGGAGAAGGTTAACTATGGAGAATTCTGGAACATTAATTCAATTCATCGGATGGCATGGTTCAGCCTTTAAGGCGTGGCCACCCTTGTGTAACTTATCAGTTTTATTCGTTATAAATAAATTGTTCTACCCTCAGCCTAGATTTGTTCTCCATCATATATTGTTGATTCTTACGATAGGACGAGTCAGTGTAGACAGTTATATGACTTCCACGTAAGATAATATAGATTAGGGAGTCACATCATGACAAATCTACAATTTTAGGACTAGATCTATTATCACAATAGTACTAATAACGAATCAAACCGCAATTTTGTAAGTAAACTGATTAGAATTCGTTTTCTTGCAAATAGGAAGATAAGTACTTTGGATGCTGTTGTTGCCATGTATTGTAAAATAGATTTCACTTTGAAAAACATTGACATATTTGGTGGTAATGTGTGAACTGTACGCCTAGCTCTTATCATATTTCAAGATCACTGCCATTAAACAATTCCCCCGACGTTAAAATCAACAGCTGGATATCTAAGTGCCTGTACTTTTACTTTCCTGTGAAACAGCAGTATACAGTTTTGGATAAGTAGTGTTCGGCGTCTTAATTAAAAGCACTGGCTGTGGACACTAACTCTACTTGTATAACTCTCCGTAAAACCAGAAGCATATGCATTGAAATACCTAAATAGAAGCAAAGGAATGAAAAGTGTAAAATGCGTTACTAAGCACATACTATGTTTTGCACAGGTTGTGGTAGCTGACCTGATCTTAAACTAATTTTCGCGAACTCGCGTTAAACCATATTTGCGCTAATTTTTTTCAATGCGAGTTTTAAATGAAAACCTGGTGTAAATGTTTGTTTGATATTCCATTGTTGATAGAACTTTCTGAATAAATTCACGAATCTGATGCTAGATTGTCTTATCAAATTAACTATCGTAAGAAACTTGTGGAGCACAGGTCTCTCAGCATCTAGTTCATACGCAATAAATTTAAATGATATAGTACATATCTTCGTTATTTTCCTGGAAAACCTACAGACTCTGACCTTCCTACAACCGATTCCAGCCGCCATGACGTGTCACGGCAGTTGGTGAGTGGACTCGCGTTACGCATATCCCAACAGTTCCTGAGTCTAATCTCATAGTTGCTTAATCAAACGCTTTATGATATCTCAGCAATGCCTTTACCCACACCAATGGAACATCGGTAACACATGGGTATCTTGTACGGTACCATGCATCGGTTGTAAATTGAGATCGATAAACGAACACACCAATGATAAAAAAAGAAACGCTCACCTCCACACTCACTTCTTTGACCTTGTATGAATATGTCTTGTTTATCCACCAATCACAATTTTATGTTCATTGTAAAAAAATATTCGCCTTGTTGACTCATTTTTATTATCCTTTAGTTACTGTTAGGTATGTTATTTATGTCTCTTCGTTTCCATATGCGATAGACTGTACTGTTTATTTGTATACTAACGCTGTTAATTTAGAAACAGATAAAGTTTATTAGGCCAGATAGCTTAATTATTCTGACTTTGGCGAAACTAAGACTCTTCGCTTGACAGTCTAGAGAATAGCTGGAATACAGAATACGGGTATTAGCCTAACTAGTGCATTTGGGAAGACTAATGTACATTTTGAGAGAACATTTAGACTTACTGTGTGAGAAAGGTATGCTGGTACTATGAATGCTATTGAAATCGAGTTCCGTAGAGCATAGGAAGCACTCAAACTGGAGGACAGATGCCGAAAATAGTTCGAGCAGTGAGACAGAAATTTGACAGTACTTTTCATTGCAAGGGTGGTTGTAGATCATCTTAGATAACACTATTATGTACCGATTAACATCATACGGCATACAAAACACTTATTTTAGCCAAAAAACTAACTTTGATTTTCAATATGTACCAAATAATACACTAAACAAAGCAGACTGACATTTTGTGACATGAATCAAATGAGCTTGCATGAAAAAATGCATTGACTTGAGTAGCAACAGAAAAAAAAACTAGAAAGCAAGGCTGATCAAATAAAAATTTTCTTCAACACTTTGAGTACTATATTAACTGTGGAATTTAAGCACACTGAATTATGCAGCTAAACAAAAATAGTGGAAAAAGCACAGAACAAATGAGGCCGAACTCCATTACCTACAAAGATAGCGGACATATTAATTCCCGCTTCATCCTGATTAGTCGCGAGGCAGACTGCAACGGCTACGAAATCGAGTTCAGTTTAATTGCAGCTGCTCGTAGTTTGAGTGTATTTGTCTAAGGGGAGTGTGGATTCTGGATACCAGAAGTGTTATATCCTAGCGAAGACATAAGTACAGGTAACTTTCGCGACCTATCAATGGACGATGATCCTATATATATTCTTATTGTTTAACTATTGAATAATTAGATCGTGTATACTTATATTAATCGTATTATAAGCTTCATTTTGACCTATGAATTATTACTATAAGGTCCATTGTCAGTTTATTGATTATTGTCTCCTACGTTCACAGCCATATCTGGCTTGATCTTGTACAAATATTATTTTCTATTTAATGGTGTGATGCGGTCTGTCTGGTATATAAACCGAGTATGGTTGAAATAAATGTCTCACGTAGCAGAAGCTGTAATTTGCGTTTTCGACTAAACTGAAAGGGCTAGACGGCTAAAGGATCAATAAGGACGTTAGGCTGATCATACCGGTCGAACGTGATTGATTCGGCACAGTGCTAAGATTGGAAAAGTCGTATTCCGATTGGTGAATAAATCACGTAATAAAAGCCGGACATAAAATCATAAGAAGAAGCTATCGAATTGCCAGGCAGGAGATCGGTTAACTGAAATTTTGAAACAATAAAATTGTAATTCCAGTCCTGAGAGGAGAGAATTCCTGCAAGAATGACAAACAACTTAATTACTTGGTAATATGTGACACGACGGAATTAAAGAATAAGAATCGAAACGGGGATGATAATAAGGGACATGGAAAGTGGTTAATGGTATGCGGCATTAATAACGGTTCTAATTTACGAAACATGCATCAGACACAGCTGGTCCAGGATGGAGGTAATAATTAATGGCTGAGCACATGTTTGTCAAGTCTCGTTTTAAAACTACTCACTGTGTGGTCGCGACCGCTTCAGCTGTGAAAGCACTTCAAATAGAGGCAACTCTTATTGAGGAAAATTGAGAAAGCACCTGGGTGCTCGCTCTTACAAGGGTTGCCTCGAGGAGCATGACGATGATGTTCTGATAATTTGCTCGTGTTGCAGTGGCTTGGGGTGCGTATTATGTTGTATTTCACTATCAGATCACTTCTAGTTCTCCTGTGGCTCAACAAGAATAGTCCCAGGTGTTGAAGTATGTCCTCGTAAGATTCATGTTTTCAGCCTATCACCTACTTGGTTGTTCGTCTCTGCATTTGATCTGAGAGGTTTATTTCTTTTTGAAGGAATAGGGGCTGAAAAACACAATGGACGTCAAGGTGGGGCCGAACGTACATTTTAAACAATGTTAAGAATAAATCTAAGGTGACTGTTCCAAGTTTTCTACTCATGTTGTGGAGAATTGCGTTTTCCTTGTCTACAATCTCTAAATAGTTAGAGATGGTATGTAAGCTCTCCATGGTTAGAATCCTGAAATCTCATTCTCAGGAGACAATCAGTAGTGGATGTCCAGAGAGGGTGTGCGCGCTTTGTGTCAAATGAATCAGAATGTTCGTGACATGACAGTATGACATCACCCACTATTTCTCAGTGGTCATCCACTGTTAACCTCCGATTCTCCTAAGGCCAGGGAAAGATTGAAGACGTATCGAAGTCACCCCTCCCAGTCTGGTCCAGTGCAGCTAGGGTGGGTAACATTTTCGTCCCGCCAAAATATTTCGTCAGCGATCACGTCAGATATTGCTGCACCATGGTCACTACTTTCTATTGATGATTGGATATAGATATCCTCAACCGTAAACTGATCGTTTATCAGTAAATCATCGAATTT